GGGGCTGGCAGTTTCCAACATAGTATCCTCTCTTTCAGCCCCTACCCATTAATATCACTCAGGTGATGGGAGAATTAGGTTTTTCTCTGATAAGCTTCTTAGCGATTTACAGATGTAAACCAGCTTTCAGGGGGTCTCTTTCCTCCCTTGGGCCCTTGGCTTTCTGTCTTTCCTTGACCTCACACCTCTCCAGCTAGTGATCAATTTCTGTCTTTTCCTGTTTTCATTCACTGAATGCCTTCTATGTGCCAAGCACTGTTCTAGGCATTGAGGATAAAAAGCAAAACAGGAGGTCCCTATACTCAGAAGCTGACATTCTAGCGGGAAGGAGAAACAAAACCAAAACTCATAAAGTGATGAAATAAAACAAAGCAGAAGTTAAAATGGTAGTGAAAGCTGGAAGCAGTATTATTAGGTGGGATATTCAAATAAAGTCCCCTTGGGGAGGACGTTTGAACTGAGATCTGAATGGCAAGAAGGAAAACTGCTAGGCAGAGATCTGAGGAACTAGCATTCCAGGCAAAAGAACAGCAAGTGCAAAGGCCCTGGGGTGGAATTAAGCTTGAATGTTCAGTGAGTTCGAGAAGGAAGGCAGTGTGACTGGGGGATAAGCCAGAGAGGGTTGAGACAGAGAGGGTTGGGAAATGTTTACAGAACTAAGCAGGGGACAGATGACATTGGCTTTTTGTACATGATCTTTTTCCAAACTGCAGGAAGAGTCTGTCTACATTTGTAGTTTCTAATGTCTCACCTTATTGTGCACCAACTCCCTTCCATGCCATGCCATTGAGACTGTCATCATAGGATCACCACTGTCTTAGCAGCCACATAGTGCTCGCTGATAGATGCATGGCCTCTGGACTCCTGACAACATAGAGTTGATTTGGTGACTGCGTATTAGATGAGATCTGGGTGCATTAGTTTCTGGCTTGAGCAGGGAGAACTAAGCCTAAGTTTACCCCTACTCTCTACTTTGCAAATTACTGCTGTTATCACTCTACTCCTACTTTCAGCAAGTAAGATCATTCACTCCATACATTAATTCACTTGTGCCAGAAATCCAACCCTGGTATAACCGAGACGGAGAATTGATTTTCTCTTATAATCTTAAATCAGGTGTGTCTGGATCCAGGTGTTCAAATAACATCATCAGGACCCAGGCTCTCCACCTCTTGATCCAGCTTTCCTCTGTTTTGGTTTCATTCTCAGCCAGGCTCCTCTCCTGTGATAGCAAGATGACCACTGGCAGTTATGAGCTTACCTCCTTCCCCCTTACCAACTCCAGTGGAAAGAAAGTTTCTTTTTTGATAGCTGTGCAAAGGCCTGGACCTGGTTGCTCATTGGCTCAGCTTGGACCTGAGCCAGTCATTGGCTCAGCTAGGGTTGGGTCCATCCCTACCATTGGCTCAGCCTGAGTTAGGCCCACCCCTGTGATTGGCACAGCATGGGTTAGGCCCACCCTGTCATTGGTTCAGCATGGGTTAAGTCCACCCCTGTCATTGGCTCAGCATGGGTTAGGCCCACCCTGTCACTGGCTCAGCATGGGTTAGGCCCACCCAGTAATTGGCTAAGCATTGTTTGGGTTTATCCTGTCATTGGTTTAGTGTGGGTTAGGTCTACCCTGTCATTGGTTCAGCATGGGTTAGGCCCACTCCGTCAATGGTTCAGTGTGGGTTAGGGCCACCCTGTCATTGGTTCAGCATGGGTTAGGCCCACTCCGTCATTGGTTCAGTGTGGGTTAGGACCACCCTGTCATTGGTTCAGAGTGAGTTGCATCCACCTGTTTCATTGGCTCGGTGTGAGTCAGGCCTACCCTTGTCATTGTTCAGCATGGGTTAGGCCCACCCTGTCAATGGCACAGTGTGGATTAGGCCCACTCTGTCATTGACACAGTGTGGGCTAGGCCCACCCTGTCATTGACTCAGTCATTGGTTCAGCATGGGTTAGGTTCATCACTGTCTTGGCTTGGCATGGATTAGACCCTCGTCATTGGTTCAGCATGTGTTAGGCCCATCCCTGAGACAGTCGCTGATGCTAGAAGCATGAGTAGTCGTATGCCTTCTCCCAGATGCAGAGAACGATGGCATATCCATGGGAACCACAAGAAATGAGAGTAGGGGTGGTTCCCCTGAGTGAATACTGTCACAGAAAGATGAAAGAATGAATGTGAGACTGGAAAAAGTCTCCACATCAACAGCTTTCTACTACATTCTGCTGCTCTGCCTTGATCAGGCTTTCAGAGACACTGTGTCCCAGAAAGGGGGGAGGTGTGGTGTGTTTCCTCTGAATTAAGGGAGAAAAGTCAGGTGAGTCCTGACGATGGGAATATGACCCCTAACAAATGTAGAATTATCAATGAGTTCTGCACTTGAACATAGGTATAATTGTGCATTTTTCACCAGGGACTCAGAAGTTGATGCTTGTGTCTATGTTGACACTAACATATTTAACCGAATGATTTGTTTGTTTGTTTTAACCAAAAATACAGCTTGTTGGTTATGTCTTTTTTTTTTTTTTTTTTTTTTTGGAGTCTCACTCTGTCACCCAGACTGGAGTGCAGTGTCTGCTCCCGGCCACCGCAGCCTTGCCTGCTGGGCTCCGGCAATCCTTCCGCCTCAGCCTTCCAAGTAGCCGGAATTATAGACATGCGCTACCATGCCTGGCTGATTTTTTTATTTATTGTAGAGATGAAGTCTCGCTGCCCAGGCAGGTCTGGAACCCACGGGCTCAGGCAATCCACTCACCTCAGCCTCCCAAAGGCGCGGGATTACAGTCTGAGCCACCGAGCCCGGCTGTTATGTCTTAAAAGGTGATGGATTTTGCTCATTCTTTTGTCTCGAAAGACATCTACCAAGCTCATGAGCTCCCTTGAGGGGAGGAAGGGACCTTGGAGACATCTTATTTGGGTTCCTAATAACATATTGACAAGCTCAGAGCTTTAAGTAAACTCAGAAAATAAATGATTACACCACAGGCTGCATCAGCAGGGAGTCTACAAACTATGGCCCAACTGTTGGTGGAAATGTGCTTCCTTAACTCTGCTGTGAATGACTCTGGTGCTGAGAGTCAAGGCCCTACCACCCACGTCCTCTTGCTACTGGCAGATTGGTCTCCTCCTGCTGTACACAGTTCTTCAAAATTCCATCCTCTTCCTCACCTCCCAGTCATGCCTGCACTTGGTTGTTTATTCCTCCTCCCTCCTCTGTTGAAACTTCTGCTCACACCACCAGTGACCGACATTTCGCTCTGCCTGGTGGATATTTTCCAGGCCTTATCTTCCTGGCTTCTCTGTGGCATCCTTGTGACTGTGGAATGTTCTTTTTTTTTTCAGCTTGCTCTTCCTGGTTCTCATCTCTCTCACTCTCCTCTGCCTCCTTTAGTTACAGTCTCTTTCTCCTCTTACCCTTTCCCAGAATTCTACGTATAGTCCCCAGGAGGTTCTCTAATGGCTACAGACACACGACTCTCCAATTCATATCACTGGCCCAGATGTCACCCCTGAGTTTCAGTGCCAGTGCTGTGCCTAGATGTAGCACAGATGTGGCAAACAAGTGTCCAAGACTGGGATCCTTCTGTGTTCCCAACCCATCCACCCAAGAGTTCTCTTTTGAGTCTTCTTTATCTCTGGGATGGGGATGGTAGTAGCACCCACGTAAGCTAGAGACCCAGGCATGTCCTCACCTCCTTTTCTCTTTCTTGTCCCCACATGTGATGAGTCATCAAGTCCTGTTTTTTTGTTTTGGGTTTTTTTTGAGTCAGAGACGCTCACTGCCACCACAGCCTGGGCCTGTTGGGCTCAGGTGGTCCTTCCACCTCAGCCTTCCAAGTAACTGCAACTACAGGTGTGTACCACCATCCCTGGCTAATTTTTTAATTTATTGTGGAGACAAGGTCTCTCCAAGTTGCCCAGGCTGATCTTAAACCCTGAGCACAAGCAGTCCTCTCGCCTCAGCCTCCCAAAGTGCTGGGATTATAGACATGTGCCACCGCACTCAGGTAATTTTGTCTTCTAAATATTGGCATCCATCTCTCCCTACTCCATCTTCATCCCCATGTCCTAAGTCAGGTCACCTTCCTTTCTCTCCTGGTTGGCTGCAGCAGCTCCCCATCCGGGCCATGTCCCTCCCTAGCCTATCCGTGGCCACCAGGGTGAACTGTGTAAGATGAAGAGCCTGTCATGTCATGCCACTCTCCTCAAAATCCTCCTGTGGCTCCCCACTGTCACTGAGTTTCTTGACATGTTGTAGTCAAAGTCCTCTGTGATTTCGCCCCTTGTGTGTCTGCCCGGTGTGCCCTCCTGTCCTTTCCCCTCCCCAGCTTTCAACCCAAGCCAACTAGACTTCCACCAGCTCCCCCATAAGCCTGGCTGTTTCTCCTCTTTCTCCTCTGTCCACCTACCAGTGCCTTCCTGTTCTTTGATATTCTTTCCGTACACTGCTCATTCACCATTTCTTCCAGGAAATCTTCCTTGACTCTTGGGCTGGTTTGGGATTTCCTAAATATCCTGGACACTGGCAGAAATGTTTATTATCTTGATTGTGGTGGTGATTTCTCAGGTACCATCATCACATACCAAAACACGCCAAAGTGTGTACTCAAATATATGCAGTTTATTGTACATATACTGTGCACATTTCTGTGACTTTACTCACCACATAGTTTTATAGTAATTTACATAAAATTTACATCTCTCTTCTACCCCAAACCCCTTCCCCCCCAGACTGTGAGGCCCCTTGAGGGAGAGCAGGGATCTTGGCAACATCTTATATGAATTTCTAGGTTCTGTAGTAGGTGCTCAGTATTTGTGGGGTGATGTACATAAGCCTTGATATTAATCCATGGATTATGAAAGGTGGTGGCCTGTCTTTTATTTGGATTTAGTTTCAGGTTTTTGACAGTATTTTATCACTTAATCTAGCATAAAGTTCAAGGATTTTTTTTTCCATTAAAGCCCAGCTTTAACCAGATGTGGGTAATGATTTTAAAACCTTCTGTCCTAGACACTATGCCACAAGAAGCGTGATCTCTTCTCCTGTTTTCATGATGGAAGACTCGGGGAAGACTTTCAGCTCTGAGGAGGAAGAAGCCAACTATTGGAAAGATCTGGCAATGACCTACAAACAGAGGTCAGTCCTCCAAAGTCCACCCTGCTTTGTTTTTCTCCTGTAACAAGAATAGCATCTATTTATTGCAGGCGTACTATGTGTCAGACACTGTGAAGGCGTTAAGTTACACTATCTCAGAACTGCCCCACAAAGAAACTGTTATCACCCCATTTCACAGATGAGGAAACTGAGCCTCAGTGAAGGCAGGTTAATCTGCAGCTGGTAAGTAGTAGAGCTGGGCTTTGAACTCCAGACCTATGGTCCTAATCATCCCACTATGCTACTTTACATCTCATTTTCAGGAAGAGTTTTTTATCAGTTCCTAGAAGCCATATTTGGTTAGTTCTTGGCATAGAGGGAAAGAACTTGACCTTATGCACAACAAAATACATTGTTGCAGATTTTGAAATTTGAAACCAGTGCTTTGGGCAAGGTAATCCATACCTTGGAGTTATGTGTGTGTGTGTGTGTGTGTGTGTGTGTGTGTGTGTGTGTATGTATTTAGTTCAGTACTGTTTCTTTTTATTTCTCATGGGTTTTTAATAATCTCCACATAGAGGTCTTACTCGTCCCCCTAGTTTCTTTATTCTTAGTTTGATTTAAAGATACTTCAGGCCAGGTATTTTAAAGTCACTCACTCCAAAAGTGGGGAGGGTGGGAAAGGGGTAAGAGTTGAAAAATTCTAGGTACAACGTTGACTATTGTGTGATGGGTGCAGTTGATGCCCAAACCTCACCAGCACACAGTATATGCATGTAACCTGCACATATACCTCCTGAATCTAAAATTTAAAAAAAAACTTTTTAAAACTTCTTGAATTTTAAGGATTAAGAAGCCAAAAATGGGCATTTGGGATAAGACAGGGACAGATGAAGTGGTGCAATGAGTGAGCATGTGTCATATGTCCAACTCCTGGAGATATACTTATAAATAAGTCTGCAGAGGATACAAGATCCAAAACTTGCTTACTACATACACGTTGGGCTCAAAAAGTGTATTTTGAATGAATGAGTGAATAGTGTTCAGAACTGGCTTTGGAGTCAGGCACACCTGGGTTCAGGTCCAGGTTCTGTTTCTGACTTTTTGTGTGACCTTTACACAAGTCCCTCATCTTGTCTAAACCACATTTTCTCATTTGTAAAATGGGAATGTTGATAGTTTCTGCCTCAAAACACAGTTGATTAAAGAGATGATCCAGGTACAACACTCAAAGGTGCAATGCCAGGCATACATTAAGTGTTCAGTAAATTATTTGACGTTTGGGAGTTCTTCTGTAGGGCAGAGAATACACAAGAAGAACTGAGAGAATTCCAGGAGGGAAGCCGAGAATATGAAGCTGAATTGGAGACGCAGTTGCAACAAATCGAAACCAGGAACAGAGACCTCCTGTCAGAGAACAACCGCCTTCGCATGGAGCTAGAAACCATCAAGGTGAGGGACTGAGAGGAAATGTGTATGCAGGTATAGATGGGCTTCCAACACGCACATGGTGTGTGTGGTTGGAAGAAGGGGCCCCACAGTGAGGGACCAAGGCCCAGGTCCACTCCCACCTACTGGCCTGGTGGGCAGATATGACTGTTGGACGGGTTTTTTTTTTAGCTGAGGTCTCTGTCACCCAGACTGGAGTACAGTGGCATGGTCCCAGCTCATTGTAGCCTCAACCTCCTGGGCTCAGGCGATCCTTCCACCTCAGCCTCCCAAGTAATTGGGACTATAGGCACACATCAGCATGCCTAGCTAATTCTTTGACTTATTGTAGAAACAAGGTCTTGTCATGTTGCCCAGGCTCGTCTTGAACTCCTGGACTCAGGCAGTCCTCTTGCCTCCGCCTCCCAAAGTGCTGGGATTACAGGCATGAGCAACTGCGCCCAGCCTTTGGAAGCTTCTTTGGGAAGACAAACCTAACACTCAGAAGCAGTTAGAGACATGGAGCTCAGTCCACAGGAGACTCCGAGAGAGAAGATTCTGTATGGATTGGAGAAAGCTTCATGGAGGGGCTGAAGAGGCCTGGGACCGTGTTTACAGGGTGTGTGCTTAGCCAGAAATCTGGTGCTTATGGGTAAGTTGACAGAGAGTTGACCTGTACTTGTCACAGATATGGGCAGGAGTGAGTATCAGGTGGATTTTGGGAAGCTGGCCTTACCAGTGCATGAAAGGGAACAAACAGATGGATTGGAGATTTGGGGAGAAGAAGGGGCCCCAGACCCTGGAAGCTGAGCAATGAAGTTCAAGCTTTATGTCGTAGACCAGAGAGCTCAAACCCACATTCTGCAGACAAGTCTCATCCATAGATGCCATTTGCTTAGCCTTTTGTGGTTTATATTCAGCGTTTTCCTGTGTAAGTCTTCAGACACACAGAAAGTCTGGAAGAATTTTATGGTGGACATCTGTATTCTTTCCCACTCCCCTCCCAGGCTCTACCAATAACACCACTCCCCTCCCAGGCTCTACCAATAACACTGACCGTACTTGCCTTTTATGATACATATTTCCATCCATTGCAATTTGTAAGACTTCCTGTAAAAAGCTGGATTTCTGATTTCCTTAGAGAATGGGAAGGTCTGACCACACTAGGCCTGCTTTCCTTCACACTAGCATAAAAGCTTAGTAGTGGTTGCTTAGAGCAAACATCCTAGGACTGCCCCAGTCTCCCTATCCCTGATGCCAAGGACTGGCAGTTGCTGCTTATCCCTACACCTGACCCACTTCCCTCATTCGTTCACAGCCTGACCCCTGCCACAGGCAGTGAGGAGTATGATGGGCCTTGCTGTGTTGCCCAAGCTGGTCTCCAACTCCTGGGCTCAAGCAATCCTCCCACCTCTGCCTCCCAGAGTACTGGGATTACAGGCACAAGCACTGTGCCCCCCTTCATTGTACCTCTTAAACTGAAGGGGACTCAGGGCTGAAGGGCCATGTAGGAGGAAGATCAGTAATATGGGCTCTAGTCTGGAGAGGGGAGCAGGGCCTCCATAGTTGCTGAGTAAACATCAAGCAGTTACTAAGTAATTAACTGTTCAACACTGAGCCTGGAGCCTGCAGAAGACCACATGGCAGATGGATGAGACCAGAGCATGGGAGCATGGGAGGCAGGGAGAAACACAGGCACCTTGGGCCCACAAATACTCTAATGCCAGCAGATACTGTTCAGTCACCTAAGAGAAATGTATTCAGCCATAGCAGACAGACTCTGTAACAACCAGCTTATTCATTGTGAGCTGAATAGGAAAGCCTGTAAGGGGCACACAGAGCATCTCTTGATGCCCACATCGGCTGACAGTGCATGAGAATGAACCCCAAATGAAAGCGCAACATTTCAGCAATGGGTTCTCATGTCTACAAGTTCAAAGGAGATCATGTAACCCTGTCATCAGGTGAAGGGGCCTGTCTGCCACTCCTCCTGGAATCTGGTTTGGATTTAGGCTAATGATCTAGGATCCTGTTTTATTTGGTTTTTGTTTTTGTTTGAGTTAGAGTCTCACTCTGTCACCCAGGCAGGAATGCAGTGGTATGCACGGCTCACCACAGTCTCAACCTCCTGGGCTCAGGTGATCCTTCTGCCTCAGCCTTCTGAGTAGCTAAAACTCTAGGTGTGCATCACCATGCCTGGCTGCTTTATAAATTTTGTTTTTGTAGAGATGAGATCTCTCTACGTTGCCCAGGCAGGTCTTCATCTCCTGGGCTCAGGTGATCCTTCCACCTCAGCCTCCCAAGTAGCTGAGACTACAGGTGCATACCACCATGCCCAGCTAATTTTTAATTTTCTTTTGTATGGATGAGGTCTCACTCTGTTGCCCAGGTGGTATTGAACTCCTAGGCTCAAGCAATCCTCCCACCTTAGCCTCCCAATCTGCTGGGATTTCAGGCATGAGTCACTGTGCCTGACCAAATCCTCTTTTATTTGGAGACATGCCCAGGTAAAGGGTGAGGTGATCAGAACCACACCTGGGAACAGATCTGGAGTCGCCTCTGCTTGTCTGAGGGCAGACACTTCTCCGTTCACAGCTAAGAGGCTGGAGGATGTGGGATGCCCTCCCCATCATCACCCTGTAAATTATTTGCTTGTTCTTTGGACTGGCTTCTTTCACAGTGGGCCTGAGCACCATGACATCACTCTCCTCGGCACATCCGGACTATTTCTAGCAACAGCTTTGTTTACCCGGTTGAGTCAAGAAGAGAAGCTTGCCTTTTTTTTTTTTAATTTCAAATGAGACCTCAGACCTTGCTTGTGGGCAGTGAGTGTTTTCTTTCTAGGATGGGTGTTTGATGAAGGAAAACAATTTGAAAGAGGAGTGGGAGCAGAACCGCGCGGTGTTCAACACCTCAGCAGCCTGGATGGAGATGGGTCAGGGCCATGCAACATGACTATTTTGCAGCCTGGCTCAGGTGGCCATGAGTTGGTCTTAGCTCAGTCATTTGCGACCTGTTGACCTAGGGCTAGTTTAGTAACTGAGCCTTAGTTGCCATGTCTCTGAAGCGGGATTAAACGAGGCATCACACATGGTTTACTTAGTCCAGAGGCTGGCTCAGGGTAAGCCTGTGACAAATGTTATTGCTCCAGCTGGTAACAAGTCATTGACATGTCATCTGGACTGTTTTTTGTCTTTGGAAACCACTGGCCAAATCACACTTAGCTTCCTTCTTAATTAACAGGATCTCTCTATCTCTTTCTCTTCCTTCTTCCCTCCTTCCCTTCATTCCTTCTACTTTCTTCCTTCCTTTCTTCCTTTCTTCCTTCTTTTCTTCCTTCCTTCCTTCCTCTCTATATTTCTATTTTTACTTTTTTTTTTTTTTTTTTTTAGTTAAGTTCTCTCTGTCTTCCAGGCTGGAGTGCAGTGGCATGATCATAGCTCCCTGCTGCCTCCAACTCCTGGGCTCAAGCAATCTTCCTGCATCAGCCTCCCAAGAAGCTGGGACTACAAGTGTATGCAACCACGCCCAGCTAATTTTTTTATTTTTTTATACAAACAAGAGGTCTCACTGTGTTGCCTAGGTTGGGTCGAGCACCTGGGCTCAAGCAATCCTTCCTCCTCAGACCCTCAAAGTGCTGGGATTACAGGCATGAGCCACCATGCCCAGCCAAGACATGGACCTGCCTTAAATGACCCTGCCTGTTCCCACTGTCTTCTGTCACTTGCTTAAGGTTCAGGTCTTGGGAGAGAAGAAGGCTCCAGCCTGGCTTGTGTCCTGGCTGTGGCAGGAGTGTGAGAGGACATCCGAAGCCATCTCAGGGAGTGTCGGGGGAGGAGTTGTCTCCTAAGAACTCAGTAATTAGGGAACCACAAGTCCCCTAAAATCAGGGCCCGCAGGTGTGTGATGGGAGGAATGACTCTTCAGTGACCCAAAGCGACAGATGTCCATGCAGCAGGAGGGGACACTTATGTTCCAAGTAGTACCAACAGTGTTTTTAAGGAGATGACAAGGAAGAGAAGTAAGCGTAGCTTATCAAAAGTGTTTTTTTTTTCTGCCAGAAATGCTCTGTCACCCAGGCTAGATAGAGTGCTGTGGTGTGACCATAGCTCACCACAGCCTCAAGCTCCTGGGCTCAAGGGATCCTCCCACCTTGGCCTCTCAAATAGCTGGGATTACAGGTGTGAGCCACCACATCCAGCCTGATCAGAAGTCTTAAATCATTCACTCAGTGTCTGTTGTGTCCTTCAGGAGAAGTTCGAAATGCAACATTCTGAAGGATACCGGCAGATCTCAGCCTTGGAGGATGACCTCGCACAGACCAAAGCAATCAAAGACCAACTGCAGAAATACATCAGAGAGCTGGAGCAAGCAAACGATGACTTGGAGAGAGCAAAACGGTATGGTGGGCAGGAGAAAGCAGGTGTGGCAGCCTTTGTCTATGTTATTTGTCCCCAGCCACCAGGTACCAGGCACTGCGTTGAGTATGGAGAACTCAGCAGTGAGCAAAACAAAACCAGTGCACTAACTTGTGAACAGTAGGCAAACACATGCAGCTTAATGATAGCAATAAGTACTGGACAATTAATTCGACTGTTGGCAGGAGAATGTCAGGTAAACCTTTCAGGAAGGAATGCCTTGTAGGCTAAGAACAGAGAGACAGACATGAGATAACATTCCAATCAGAAAGACAAGCCTGTGCTAAGGCCTTGTGGGAAAGAAGCTCGCTCAAAGAACAGTATTTCTTAAGCTGTTGTTCTGTAGTTTTGCAGAATAATAACAGTAACTAATATTTATGAAAGCATTACTCTGAACTGGGCAGTTTTTTTTTTTATGTAACACTTGCTTTAAAAAAAAGTTTGTATGTAAATTACATATAGTGAAATGCACAGGTCTTAAGTATACAGTTCTACTTGTTTTGACAAATGTATACATTTGTGTAACCCACACTCCTGTTGAGATACAAAACATTTTCTTTTTTCCAAAACCAGAACAACTTTATTGGCTCAGGCAGTGGACATTGTCCAGCCCGCCCCGCGTTTCCCACCAAAAACTCAAAACACTTTCATTGCCCCCAAGCTTACATTAATCTTTTTGGTTTTTTTTTTTTTTTTTTTAGTGGTTGCTTTAAGGAGTCAAATAACTTTAGAGGGAACATGATAAGCATCTTCTTTGATTTTTTGAGTTGAGTCTCACTCTGTCGCCCAAACTGAAGTGCAGTGGCATGCTCCCAGCCACTGTAACCTCGATCTGCTGGACTCCAGCCATCCTTCCACCTCAGCCTTCTAAGTATCTGGAACTGCAGGCATGTGCCACCATGCCTGACTAATATTTTGATTTATTGTAGAGATGAGGTCTCACCAAGTTGCCCGGGCGGGTCTCGAACCCACAGGCTCAGGCAATCCACTCACCTCGGCCTCCCAAAGTGCTGGGATTACAGGCTGAGCCACTGAGCCTGGCCAATGTAAGCATCTTGAGCTTTTCCATCAACTGGTATTGTAAAATTCACTTGGTGTTCTCTTCTCTATGTGTAGACTCCCAGTTTCTCCCAGTACCTTCAGATAATTATTTTTTATATTTTACCCAAAATTTACAGGGGGTTTGATGTAATACAAATTCATCATTACCAGAAGTGGAACTTCTTTATCAATTTGTAAGAGTTCTTTGTATATTTTTGCTACTAATCTTTCTCCTGCATTGAGAATATTTCTTCCAGAATAATCTTTTGTCTTTTGACTTTGTCTATGGTATTATTTTCTGTGCAAATACTTTCCATTTTTAGTTCATCATCCAGACTTCACTAGGGGTGTCTTCTAGATCTTTGATATGCATGTAGTGTGTGTGTGTGTGTGTGTGTGTGTGTGTGTGTGTCTCTCTCTCTCTCTCTCTCTCTCTCCGCAAGATTTTTTTATTGTTTACTTTTTTTACCCTTGTGCCTTAATCTGCCTGGAATTTATTTTTGTGTCTAGTATAAGATATGGTCCACTTTTATTTTCTTTAGGTAACTAGCCAGTTGTGCCAGCACTATTTATTAAACACTGTCTTTTCTCCACTAAATCGGGCTCATCTCTGTCGTATGTTATCCATCTCATATATCCTGAGATCTAATTCCAGATTCTCTATTTTTTTGGGTCAGTATAGAACTTGTAAATTATTTTGCCAATACCATAGTGACTTGATTACTGTAGCTTTATTATACAAAGCTCTGACTTTTGGCAAACCACTGGCATACCATCATTTCCATGCATGTATCATTGATCAAAGCCAGTCACATAGCCAAATTAAGTTGAAGGACAGGAAAGTACTTTCCACCTACAATGAGACCACAAGGGTGTGGATGAAGGGAGAGTGACAACTGGGGCCAAGGACGCAGCCTACCACAAAGAGGTAGTACATTCACATGGTTCAAAAATAATATACAGAAGGTCAGTAGCTTTACTAATGTAAATTCAAGCAAACCAAAAGGTATTCTTATCCCTGCCCCACCTTTTTTCCTCCACACTGTACACAATGTTGGACATCTTGCTCTTTCACATAACAGTAGACCTTGGAGATCATTCTTTATGAGGACAGGGCATCCCTTGTTCTTTTGTTCAGATATATAATATTCTGTTCTATGGTTGGTACTGTATTGTATTGTGCGATACCATAATAATGTATCTATTGAGGCCCCTGTGGATGGATACCTGTTGCATTTCCACTCTTCTGTAATGACAAGCATTACCGTAGTGAATAACCTGGCACAGGTATATATCCCAGAGGTGAAATCACTGGTCAAAGAAAATATGCATATGAGGGGGGAGCCCCAAAAAACCTGGAACTTATTTACAAAAATTGAGTATTTACTCTTACATATTTAAATTCAGTCACCTTCAATGTACTCTCCAATTGATGTAATACACCCACAAGATGCTTTTTCCACTGCTCAAAACAGTTTTTGAATTCGTCTACTTTGATGCCTTTTAGTGCTTCTGCCGTTTTTTGTTTCACTTCTTTCACATTGGCTAAACCTTTCCCTTTGAGAACTTTTTCATTTGGGGAAACAAAAAAAAGTCACTCAAAGTGAGACTGGGTGAGTAGGGAGGGTAGGGCATGGGGGTCTTGAAGTTTTTGATCAAAAACTGCTGAACACTCAGCACAGTGTGGGCAGGTGTGCTTGAGAATCACCCATCACAAAATGGATAAACACATTGAAAAGAGTCTCTAAAAAAAAAAATTAACTAAAGCTGAACGAAGCCTTTTACAACAGTCCTATCTGGACACTGATGCTGATGGGTTCCTAGAACATGTACTCATCTGGGGAGGCCTGAACTATAGGGGGCCCGCCCTCGAAAAAATTAATTCCTGGCTTTTTTGGGTCTCCCCTCGTATGTGATTTTGACAGGTATTGCTCAGTTGCTTTCTGTATGGTTGTGCCAGTTTATATCCCAGAAGCTGTGTGTGTGAGCCCCTGCTTTCCAAACAGCTTCACTGACAGGGTGGTTTTCAACCTTTGAGTTTCTGCCAAGGTGAGAAGCAGGTGCATTTCTGAGTGACATTGAGGACCTTTTTATATGCTCAAGAGTTGTTTTATTTCCTTCTCTATGAACCCTTTATCTCTGCCTACTTTTAAATTGACTTGTTGGTTGCTGTTTTTTCCCCATGATTTCTAGATTTTTAAGAAAAATTGAAAGTACTTGGAGTTTGTCGTTTGTCTTCTGGCTTTGTCTAATGTCTACTTTCCGGTACAGAAGTTACTTGATTTCTGGCCAGTAGTACCAGTAATCTATTTGTAGTCAAAGGTATCAGTCAGTCATAGTTAGAAGGGCCTTCTGCACTCTAAGGTTTATAAAGCTCTTAACCTGTGTTTTCTTCTAGTATTTTTATTTGTTGTTTTTCTTCCTTCTTTTTTTTTTTTTTTGTATTGAAGATGCATTGGTGCCTTGGACTCTCATTTTGACCAAATGTTGAATATTTAAATGTTGAGAGGTAGAGGCCCAAACCACCATCACAGAATGAATGAATAAAGTTTTAGCTCGTTGCATTCGGATGTCCCCTCTGAGAGGACATCGTAGCTCTAGCAAACCAAGGGACATAAAGAGATTGTTGGTGATTATAAAGGACAAACTTTTGCCCGTGAAAATTTTTTTTAAATGTATGTTTCCTTGAGGTTTTCCATTCAAATTACACAAAAAAGCAAATAAAAAGATGGGGTACATACTGAGATATGTTTGATCAGTTGAGAAGTAATTTTCAGGAATCACAAGTGTGTCCTTCCACATCTTTTTTGAACAACAAACTGGACAATAAATTGCATATTATTAATGTGGGAGGAAGAAACAAGACTGCATTGTCTGCTCAAATGGAAAATCACCAGGTAGGAGGTGTTAAACAAATTACTGTTGTACAACATGTATCTATAAACCTGCAAAGTGGTCGTGACTATTTCACACGTTACCACATGTTAGAAAAATATAAGATATAAGATTTTGGTTTTCGCCGGGCTCGGTGGCTCAGCCTATAATCCTGCACCTTTGGGCGGCTGAGGTGAGTGAATTGCCTGAGCCCACGGGTTCGAGACCCACCTGGGCAACTTGGCGAGACCTCATCTCTACAATAAATAAAAAAATCAGCTGGGCGTGGTAGCGCATGCCTGTAATTCTGGCTACTCGGAAGGTTGAGGCGGAAGGATCGCCGAAGCCCAGCAGGTCGAGGCTGCGGTGGCCGGGAGCGGCCACTGCACTCCAGTCTGGGCGACAGAGTGAGACTCCAACTCAAGAAGAAAAAAAAAAAAGATTTTGGTTTTCTTGTAATAAATAAGTTTCTCAATGTCCAAAATTCCATTCTAAGCCAAATATCATTACAGGAAAGTAACTGGTTCCAACACTATACTATTTAATATGAAGTGATTCATTTTTCACTATTTCATAAAATAGTGCGATCAAATTGGTGGTAGGTGACCCACGAGATGTCTCTGAGTGCAGAGGGTTAGGATACCAAAGCTTTGTTTTATTTATTAATTTACTTGAAACTTTTTTGAGTCAGGGTCTCACTCTGTCACCCAAGCTGGAGTGCATTGGCATGATCACACTTATGGCAGTCTTGACCTCCTGGTCTCAGGCAATCCTTCTGTCTCAGTCTCCTAAAGTAGCTGGCTCTACAGATGTACACCACATGCCTGACTTTGTTTGTTTGTTTGTTTGTTTGTTTTATAGAGACAGGTTCTCACTATGTTGTCTAGACTGGTCTCAAACTCCTGTGCTCCAGCATTTCTCCTGACTTTGCCTTCCAAAGTACTGGGATTATATAAACGTTAGCCACTGCACCTGGCCATATTCTAAGTTAACCTAACCAATGTATTGTTTTATATTCATATTTACTGAAAACTTATCTTCCTATTTTCAAGTTCTCAATAATTGTACGTGAGGTTAACAGCTTTTCACAGTCCCCAATTACTGCAGCATTTTATTCTACATATGCTTTTATCCATCAGTTGACAGAATTTCCACATATAGAGTACATAAAGCAATTTTCGCTCCAGTTACAACTAGGACACTGACCTTTATTTGAAGGCAAAACTTCAGATAATAACAATAAACTTGAATGATATTCCTTGCTGGTATTACTGATGCCGTTATTCTGATTATATACAATTATATGATTATGATGCACACAGGTTGAGAAATGCCGCTGAAGTTGATCTTCAGTTCTCTAGCATTCCAGAAGCCAAATAGTAGGTTTTAGTGAAATACTGAGTTTGTTTAAATGTCTGTAATTTATTTTGAGGCACAGTATGAGGTATGACTCCAATGTTGTTTTTTTCTGGGTGGGTACCTGCTGGTCCAGAAACCTAGAATTGAACCTGCCATCCTTTTGTCAGTGATTTGTGGTGCCGCCTCTATCAGCAATTAAATTCCTATCTGTTTTGGCATCTTGGGTTCCACTGGTCTGTCTGTCCTTATAACCAGTAGCACATTGTTGGTTTCTTTTTATTTTTTTATTTTTGGTTTTGCTTTTTTTTTTTTTTGGTCAGGGTCTTGCTCTGTGGCCCTGACTGGAGTGCAGTGGCGTGGTCATGGTTCACCATGGCCCCAACCTCCTGGGCCAAGGTGATCCTTCTGCCTCAGCCTCCCTGAGTAGCTAGGACTACAGGCATGCGCTATTACACCGGCTAATTTTTTTTATGTTTTGTAGAGACAAGGTCTTGCTATGTTGCCAGGTCTTGAATTCCTGTACTCAAGCAATCCTTCCTTGACCTCTGAAAATGCTGGGAATACAAGCACTAGCCACCACGCCGAGCCACACTGTTGTTCTTTACCAAGGCTTTATAATAGCGTGTTTGTAATGTCTGGTAGAACAAGTTCCCTGACCTCCTCTTTTTCCATTTTACTGGCCATTCTTATTTCATTAACACAGGATCTTTCAAATTCGTCAAATTTATTTTCCTGATAAAATCCTGTTAGTATTTTCATTAAGCAGTTTTGTTAAGATAGTGGTGAATTGATCCATGTAGCCTGTGGGGAGCTGACCTCCTGATGTTAGTTCTTCCTCTTCATATACACTGTCTGTCTGTGTTGCAGCATTCTATAACCACAGGAAAGCCTTGCATGTTTGTTGTCACATGACTTCCTATGCATTGTATCTTTTCATTATTGTTTGACATGTCAATCTTAGGGTCCTTTTAACTGATTCTGTATTGTACTCCCAAGTGTTAACCCCCTGCTGTTTTTAATCAGGCACTTGTGGTAACTTCTTCCTGTCTTCTACTTTAAAGACCCTTTATGTGCAGGCACTAACATGACTGTAAAGATGAAGCAGGATCCATGGGAGAAATGCATGGCTCAGTCCTTATCTTCCAGTTGAAGGAACCCAGGACGGGGCGGGGGGTCACCTTGCCCAAAGATACTCCATTAGTCTTGAGTGGGGAGGTGGTTGTTAACTCCTGCCCTCTCCAAACACAGGCTTTTAGCTTCTGTGGGATACAGTTAGCGGGATGTTCAAGGTCAGGGGGCAAACTCGGGATCAGTAATAACAATCACAGACATTTACTGAGCACTTGTGTGTGAAGCATCTGTTGTGTGCTTCCTGTATGACATTGTGCACCACCCCCACCCCCACAGCCCTATGCGGAGGTACTGTTACTACCCTTGCTTTGCATGGGAGGAAACTGAGGCATGGAGAAGGTGGTTTGCCCAGAGCTAAACAGATTTATTTGTTATAACACTTCTTAGTGCCTTTGCCACAATGTCTGCATTGTTCACAAGAAGAAGTGTCTGTGTGCAGGGCAGCTGGGCTGGTGATGGGCATTTGGAACTTTTTTTGTTAGAGTAACTGAGAGGCTTAAGATGGTCTCTTCTCCCTGTTTATTTACCTACTATTTTTGAGTTGGAGTCTCACTCTGTCACCTAGGCTAGAGTGCAGTGGCATGATCTTGGGTCATGGCAGCTGCAACCTCCTGAGCTCAGATGATCATTCTGCCTCAGCCTCCCAAGTAGCTGGGACTACAGGTGTGAGCCACCGCGCCTGGCTAATAAATATTTTGATTTTTTTTTCCTCAGAGACAAGGTTTCGTTATGTTGGTCTCAAGCTATCCTCCTACCTCAGCCTCCCAAAGTACCAGGATTCCAGGCATGAGCCACCTTGCCTGGCTGTATTAGGCTGTTCTTAATACTTACTGGCACTGTGAGCTTCCAAAAGAAATTAGAGGGTACGGCACTTCCTGGCCACCACATGCAGTCATGATAAAGCCTTGTTTGACCATTGCTGAGTGCTGTGTGGCCATTTGTCTTCTTTAATCCTGAGACAGCCTTGTGTACCTCATGAGCTATGAGGAATCCCATTCTGCAGGCGAGGAGTCCATGTCCCAGAAAGCTGAGCGGCTCACCCAGGGCTGTGGCATCTAGAAGTCGAGTACTGGGACTCACACCTTGTACCCAGGCACATCTGACCCTTCACACTCTCTAGGTTTGCGGGTGCCACATGGCAGCTGCCATCTGTATTCCTGGATAGCTTTGCTTTTCTCTTCCTCAGAGCCACAATCATGTCTCTGGAAGACTTTGAGCAGCGCTTGAATCAAGCCATCGAGAGAAATGCCTTCCTGGAAAGTGAGCTTGACGAGAAGGAGAATCTCCTGGAATCTGTCCAGAGGCTGAAGGATGAAGCCCGAGGTCAGGAGGCCTTGGCATGTGTTCTTGTCCTTACCAGCAACGTCCCCCCTCCCCGCCTGAGAACAACTTGTCCCATGGTCTCGCCCAGTGTAGCCTTTACCAGGAATCTGTGCCCTGCTGTGCACACGGGCTGTCCAGTCTGAGGATAGTAAATTCCATAGATTTATTTTGTGGCATGTTAAGCAGTTGTTAAAATGAACAAGGTACAGATGTCAAGGCAGTCATAGAAAGATTGCCAGGACATACCATTGAAGGGAGAGAACAAGACATAGACAAGAGGTGATGGGTGTTTCCATTTATGCTTAATAAAAATCATTCCAGGCTGGGCATGGTGACTGGTGCCTGTAATCCTAGCACTTTGGGAGGCTAAGGCGAGAGGATTGCTTGAGCTCAGGGGCTCATGACTAGCCTGGGCAACTTGGTGAGACCTCGTCTCTACAAAAATGTCAAAAGCCAAGTGTGGTGGCATATGCCTGTAGTCCCAGCTATTTGGGAGGTAGAAGTGGGAGGATCACCTGAGCCTAGAAGTTGGAGGTAGAGGTGAACTGTTATCATGTCAGTGCATTCCAGCATGGGCAACACAATGAGACCCCAACTCAAACCCAAATCTGAGGTTTTGCAAGCCTGCCGAACAGGGTCCTGAGGGTTTCACTTCATCTGGGGTTTCCCCCTGGAGTTTGTCACTGAGAGTGTTTTCTCTGCATAGCATCTGCTGTCAGACACCCTTCTCTCTTCCCCCCAACCCTGCCAACCCTGAGCGAAGATTTGCATTTCTGATCCCTTTCCTGGTACAGATTTGCGGCAGGAACTGGCTGTGCAGCAGAAGCAAGAGAAACCCAGGACCCCCATGGCCAGCTCGGTGGAGGCCGAGAGGACAGACACAGCTGTGCAGGCCACCAGCTCTGTGCCATCCACTCCCATAGCTCACCGAGGACCCAGCTCCAGTTTCAACACACCAGGGATCTTTAGGCGTGGTAAGGGATTGGGAACCAGGAAGATTTTTTTGGTTTCACAAAGTATTCCTGAGTGAGAATCTGTGGTGGGTCCTGGATGTGAGAATTCAGAGTAGGCTGCAGAACTGGGAGCAAACTGGGATGCTCATAGCCACAGGACACTGAGGTAAATAAGAGGAGCTTCTTGGGTGGGAATCAGTAGAGAGTAGTGGAGTCTGTGGCGAAGTAAAGAATGGAAACTCCATCGAGAGTGAGTAGCAGCCACTCTGCTCCTGCCACGAGGAAGGTGGGTCCTTCGTTAGCAGATTTTTCCAGTCCTCACCAAAAGCCAGAAACCTTTTTGAATATGAAACCTCCCAAATTTGAAATATCAGTCACCAAATACAAAAATTTTTTAAAGGCTAGGCACAGTGGCTCATGCCTGTAATCCCAGCATTTGGGAGGCTGAGGCAGGAGGATCACTTGAGCCCAGGAGGTTAAGGCTGATATGAGCTGTGGTTTTGCTACCGTACTCTAGCCTGGACAACAGAGTGATACCCTGACTCAAAAAATTAAAAAATTGTGGGTCCAGTAATATGTCCATCTAGAAGTAGGCCTGGTGTAACCTGTGTTGTGGTTAAAGCCGAGAAACAAGTTCTTATCCCAGGCCCTGTGCTTATTGCTTCATGGTGAGACTCTGATCAGGCCCCTTGTAGCAAATGCTAATACGAGCCTGTGACTGAGTGCCCAGAGTCTGCTGGCCACTTAGCTTCAAGTACTTGGCAACTGTAACCTCACTGAATTCTCACTGCAAGCCTGTGACTATGCTAGTGCTGGCCCCCGTTGATGGAGGTGGAAACTGAGGCCCTGAGTTAGTCACACAGCAAGGAAATAGCAGAGTTGGGATTCAAACACAGACAGGCAGGTTCCAGAACTTAAATGACCACCTTACCCCTTCGATTGTCTCCCAGGGTGGGGAGACCTGTAAGCTCTCTAGAAGCCCAATCTGGAGCTGTTTTCCACACTCTGATGTATATGAACCTCACCCAGGAATCTTGTAAAATGCACCCTAGTTTCAGCAGGTCTGGGTGGACCACATTTCTAGGTCGTGGATCATGTTTCTAGCTAGTGCCAAGGTGCTGGTGGCCCACAGACCCCACTCTGAGGAGACAGGCTGTGGAGAGACAAACCCTTGTACAGCTGGCTTGCACACTCCATAGGTATTGCACTGACCACAAATGCAATGAACTCTATGGAATTCCTACAATGTCAAGAGGATTCATTTTGTTTAAAAAGACTAACATGTAAAAATAAATGTTTGAAGCCAGGTGCGATGACTCACGCCTGTAATCCCAGCACTTGGGAGGCTGAGGTGGGAGGATCGCTTGATCCCAGGAGTTTGAGACCAGCCCGGGCAACGTAGTGAGACCTCGTCTCTGTAAAAAAAATCCAAAAATTAGCTGGGCGTGGTAGCATGTGTATGTAGTCCTAGCTACTCAGGAGGCAGAGACAGAAGGATCCCTGGAGCCCAGGAGGTCGAGGTTGTGGTGAGCTGTGAGTGTGCCACTGTACTCCAGGCTGGGCAACAGAGAGAGACCCTCCGACACACAAAAAATTAAATAAATGTTTGATGTAATAAACATAAGGTCGTGAAAAGTTGGTCATCGGGGAGGTGTTATGTCGGTCACTACTGAGTGAAATAGAGCCACCTCCAGAAGCCAAGGGGTGCTTCCCGTCCCCAGGGTTTTGAATTCAGAGACATTAGTGCCCAGACATGACTGTAAGTTGAGGTATTATATGTGCCTCCCTTTGTGCACCTAGGCCTGGACGACTCCACTGGGGGGACCCCGCTCACGCCAGCTGCCCGGATATCAGCCCTCAACATTGTAGGAGACCTGCTGCGGAAAGTCGGGGTAAGATCTTGCCTTCCTGGGGTCTGGTGTGCCTTTTGGCCTGACTTTCAGGAGACTTGAGAGAGTTCATCTTATCAGCTCCTACCCCTCCCCATGTCCCCCCCACTTTTTTTTTCTTGAGAGACATGGTCTGGCTCTGTCACCCAGGCTGGAATGCAGTGGTGCCATCATAGCTCACTGAGCCTTAAACTCCTGGGCTCAGGCAATCCTATCCTGGGCTCAGGCAATCCAATCCTGAGTACCCGGAACTACAGGCACGTGCCACCATGCCCAGCTAGTTTTTTACTTTTTTTTTGTGAGATCTCACTTATGCTGTCCAGGCTGGTCTTGAACTCCTGGCTTTAAGTGATCCTCCTGCTCTGGCCTCCCAAAATGCTGGGATTACAGGTGTGAGCCACCATGCCCAACCCCTTTCCCCTTTAATAGAGATTCCTTAAGTTTCGGGCATGACTTTTCTTTTAGCATCCCTGGGAGTCATTAGTGCTTCCTGTAGGAACTATGGCCAGACACCCAGGGCTCTGAATCCCATCTTCCCTTTGGTACCTAGGTGTAACTTTTTTTCCTTGGATCATTCTTCGTCCTGACAATTTGGGAAATGAGGATGGTGTCTGTGGTGTTTTCATCATTTGAAACACTGAAGGGCATTTAGAAACTGCCTTCTCTTTTTTTTTTTTTGGTTTCCCAGGGAGTTTAAGAGACAATCTTGAAAGCCTATGACAAAGAACTTGGCCTTCCAAATTTTATATTACAGGGAGGAACCCTTTTATGTTTGCGCAGTAATGCATGTATTCTTTGTTGTGTTTTTGTTTTGTTTTTTTGGAGTCGGAGTCTCACTCTGTTTCCCAGGCTGGAGTGCAATGGCACAATCACAGCTCACTGCAGCCTTACCTCCCAGGCTCAGACAATCCTGCCTCAGTCTCCCAAGTAGCTGAGACTACAGGCATGTGCCACCATGCTTGGCTAACTCTTGGATTTTTTGTAAAGACAAGGTCTTGCTATATTGCCCAGACTTGTCTTAAACTCCTAGCCTTAAGCAATCCTCCTGCCTTGACCTCCCCAAGTGATTATAGGCATGAACTACTGTACCTGGTCTATTTTTTTTATTTTAAAAAAATGACACCTGGAAGCCCACATCATTTAACTCCTACTAGCTTATCATTGTCATTGAGCTGAGTGAAGTATGTTCTAGCTACAGCTTATTAAAAGCTTGCAATGCCTTTCTTATGTTTTTACTCTTGGCCTCTGGTTGTCTGGTTTTCTGTTCTATAAACAGTCTCATTTTTAACATTTAGCACAGAGTATTGAGAAGCCCAGGGTGGTATGGGTGCCCTTTGGTTTCTTCAGGTCCTGTTTATAGCCAGGTCAAGCCCATGTCAAACCTCCTGCCATGCTGCGCAGGTTTAACAAGGTAAACAAAAGAGAGTGAATTATTCCAAAAGTTGATTTCACAATTCCTACAAGCAGAGTTGGTTACCGACAGGGTTAGCGTTTTTCCAGGAAGCTCCCAGATATTTTCAGCGCATGGTTCCAAGACTTGGTTACACCCTGGATTCCTCTAGGCTTCATCTTGGAATTCTGACACACAGCAGTTTGGGAACCACTGTTTGGGGTTCTTTTCCCTGTACGGGCTCTGGTGAGAGAGAAGAGTTCTTGTCTTTAACTTGAGAAAATTTTTTTTTTAAATGCATATTCCTCTCCAGGCCCTGGAATCCAAACTCGCATCCTGCCGGAACTTCGTGTACGATCAGTCCCCAAACCGAACAAGCGGCCCAGCCTCAGGGCGGGCGAGCAAGAGCAGGGATGTTGGCGACAGGCGGCCGGGCAGCGGCAGCAGCAGCAGCATGCCTCTGGGTGATAAGGGGTCAGTACCTTCCATACACTTCTCAGTGGGGAAAGAAGCGCACACCCTGACCCACAGTCACTTTTTTTAAGTTGTGGGTCAGCGAGTGTTATCCTCCACTCCCTCCCCCGAGGCACAATTAGGTGGTCTTCTGGTTTGGGTAAAGGGCCAGTGAGAGGGTTGTTTTCATCATTTGATTCCACAGCTCTTTGGTGGTCATGCTGTGAGGATGGTCCTGCATAAATCCCTTGTTTGGGAGTCGAGCTTCAAATTCTACTCTGTTTCCCCCAGAAGATTTTCTTTCTCGTTTTAAATCTGTAGAACCTACAGGAAACTGGCATTAGCATCTAACTAGATTCCTGAAATCTGTCACCTGATGGGAAAACAACAGCCTCTAATGCATATTTATTTTTTTGCCTACAGAAAATCAAGGTAACCAGGCACAGTGGTTCATGCCTGTAATTCTAGCACCTTTTGGAAGGCTGAGGTGGGAGGATCGCTTGAGGCCAGGAGTTCGAGACCAGTCTGGACAATATAGTGAGACCTTGTCTCTAAAAAAAATGTAAAAATTAGCTAGACTTGGTGGTGTGTGCCTATAGTCCCACTACTTGGGAGGCTGAGACGGAAGGATGACCTGAGCCCAGGAAGTCAAGGCTGTGATGAGCTGTGATCAGGCTCCTGCACTGCAGCCTAGGCAACAGAGTAAGACCCCCCAGCTCAAAAAAAAAAGAAGAAAAATCAGGGCAACTTCCCAGTCATGGGATCTGCGGCATGTGCCACCGTCTCCCCAGACCCTAAGCTACATAAATTTGATGGGTCTGTGGCAGACACATAACAAGAAATTAAGGATCTTTTCCATGGTGTGCACATAGTTTCTGGATCTCTAAAAGTGGATTTTTTTTGAGTCAGAGTCTCATTTTGTCACCCAGGCTGTAGTGCAGTGGCATGTTCATAGCCACCACAGCCTTAGGCCACTGGGCTCAGGCGATCCTTTCACCTCAGCCTTCCAAGTAGCCTGAACCACAGGTGAATGCCACCACACTCGGCTAAATTTTTGAACTCTTGTAGAGATGAGGTCTTGCCAAGTTGCCCAGGCTGGTCTCAAGTCCTTGGGCTCAGGCAATTATCTCGCTTTCGCCTCCCAAAGTGTTGGGATAACAGGCGTGAGCCACCACACCCATCTATATTTTTTTTTAATTAAAAATTTTTTTTTTTTTAATTTTGAATGGACAAACAAGAAATGGATGTTTCTAGAAGGTCTTCTGAGTCTGGGCTTCATGTGTGACCTTGGGAATCTGTGAACCAGACAGCCAGTGTTCTTTTCTTCATTTACAGGAAAGAACACTGAGACCCCATGAACCCCCGGTCCTGACTTGTATTCACCCTTAGCCCAGTAGGCCCCACTGCTAGCCCATTTGTCTCGGCTGTCATGTCCGCTTACTTTGGTTTGCTCTGTCTGAAGGTTGGGAAAACGCCTGGAGTTTGGGAAGCCTCCTTCACACATGTCCTCACCGCCACCGCCGCCCGCCCAGGGCGTAGTCAAGATATTGCTTTAGGAAAACCACGGAAGCTGAAGCCCTGGGTGTTTGCACGGGAGTTGTACCCTGTCTTCCTCTCTTGACATTAGGTCTTGTTTGTTAAGTTAGTTTGAGAAAAAAGAGCTGGCAGTCACCATAGTTCACTCCACGCTCTGTGACCAAAGCCAATGACCGAGGCTGTCACCCGTAGCTCGTGGGGTCTGTCCTGTGGAATGATGGCTCGTCATTCCTGCCTCACTGTGCAACAGTGGCAGAGAGGGACAATCTGGGCCCTCTGGGGAGGGCTGCCAGGTATGGTGAGGAGGCTGCACCGTCATGCTGAGCTGACCCAAGAAGAGTCCCGACTGGTCTTGAGAGGTGTTTATAGTGTCCAGAGTGGCCTTACAAGTGGGCTCCAGTCCTGCCTCAGAGACTCCCGTCCCCAGCTCGCACTCATCTGGAATTGCCTTCCAGAACAAAATCTCCCAGTGCTTTATGGCATGTTCAAATCATGTCTGGGAGAAGAGAGCAGTACAAGCATGTGCCTTTTTTTTAAACTGTGGTAATATACCTCTGAGACTTTTTTTTTTTTTTTTGAGTTGGAGTCTCACTCGGTTGCCCAAACTGGAGTGCAGTGGCCGCTCCCGGCCACCGCAGCCTCACCTGCTGGGCTCCGGCAATCCTTCCACCTCAGCCTTCCGAGTAGCCGGAATTACAGGCGCACACTACCACGCCCGGCTGATTTTTTGATTTATTGTAGAGATGAGGTCTCGCTGCCCAGGCGGGTCTCGAACCCGCCGGCTCAGGCAATCTACTCTCCTCAGCCTCCCAAAGGCGCGGGATTACAGACTGAGCCTCCGAGCCCAGCCCTCTGAGACTTTTTAATCTGCTTCTCCCTGAGGTTTTTAGAGGTGTGTTTGAGTTTCGGGGTCATTTATGGGTCAACCAGAGTCAGTGGGAAATATGTGTCCTCTTTAGGTAAATCCAGCCATTTGTTTTCCTGTGTCTCCTGCCCTGGTATGGGGGTGACTTCTGTTTCAGGACCCAGGTGGTAGGTCCTTGGGGTACAGTGGTCTTAGTCATGCAGTCCCTAAGAACTGGACTTCATTCAAAGCCATAATGAAGTAACGGGATAACCTTCAGATTAAGATGAAAACACGAGACTGTTGTTGAAAGCTTTGTCAGAGAAACCACAGCATTTCCAACGCTCAATGGTGGGTCTGTTCATTACTGCTTGCTGGCATCTGCCATGTCACGCTTCCAGACACAAGTGAAAAGAGCACACTAATTTCAGGAGTTATGCATGCAGTTACTTCTTTTGATTTTGTTACTAAATTATTTTCTGAAAGAACAGCAAAAATTTCCTCATTGAAAATAGAACTTTTCAAGTGCTACTGAAATTCCACAGAGAATTAAGCTGCCAAGAAGGGTTTGTTACCCTGGAAACAGTCTAACCTGTATCAGTAAAAGATATACTTTTATTTTTTTAAAAGAACAATAAAGTAAGAGAAACTGATGTTCCACTGGTTTGTGGGGAATACAAGCTCTTTCATATGTTTGTATTGCCAGGTGTGCTTGTATGGTCGTGAAAAACTTTTTTGTTTTGTAACCAAGTATGAAATAAGCTGGGTGCGGTGACTCACACTGTAATCCCAGCACTTTGGGAAGCCAAGGCGGGAGGATTGCTTGAGCCCAGGAGTTTGAGACCAGCCTGGACAACATAGCAAGACCTCGTCTCTGCAGAAAACCAAAAAATTAGCCAGGTGTGGTAGTGTGTGCCTGTAGTCCCAGCTATTTGAGAGGCTGAGGTGGCAGATCACCTGAGCCCAGGAGGTTGGGGGTGCAGTGAGCCATGAGTGGAGCCACACTGCACTCCAGCCTGGGCAACAGAGTGAGATCCTGACTCAAAAAAGAAAAGAAAAAGAAAAATATGAGCCCTCAGATTGAAGTGACTTAAACAAAATTTCCCATTTATCCATTTACCAAATACTTCTTGAATGTCAGGCCCTGTGTTAGGCTTGGCAGGTACAATGGTGAGGAGAGCTGACTAAGATACTTAGGAGGCTGAAGTGAGAGGATTGCTTTGAATCCAGGAGGTTGAGGCTGTGATGAGCCGTGGTGTGCCATTGCACTCCAGCTTGGGCAATAGCGTGAGACCCTGACTCAAAAAATAAAAAAATAAGAAAAAAAATTTGCTTTTGTTTGAAACATTTCTATTCATGTCAGCCTTTTGGAAATGTTTAGGAATCTGGTTGAGCATTGTTCAGGATCTACTCACATTGGGTCACACAGTGGGGTCTTTTGCATTTCCCTATTTCCTGTCTTCTCAAATGTTTTATCCCACTGAGATGGTGGTATTTGGAGTAGTTTGTGTTGCATGGAACCTTTGCAAGGTGTGTCTAAAACACTAGAGCTGAAGATTGATAGGTCCCACAGCCTGCTTTTGTACAGCACCCTTTGCAAAGAATTTTTTTTAATGTTTTTAAGTGTTGTTTAAAAAAAAAAAGGTGAGGTCAGATGTGGTGGCTCACATCCGTAATCCCAGCACTTTGGGAAGTTGAGGTGGGAGAACTGCCTGAACCCGGGAGTTCAACGACCAACAGTAAGACCTCAACCCTATTTAAAAAAACAACAACAACAAAACGCCAGGCCTGCTGGCACTCTTCTGTAGTAGTTCCAGCTACTCAGGAGGCTGGGACAGAAGGATCGCCCGAGTCTAGGAGGTTGAGGCTATGGTGAGCTGTGATTGTGCTACTGCACTCCAGCCTGGGCAACAGAGTGAGACCCCAATTCAAAAAAAGATGACTATTCAACAAACCATATGTAGCCTGCAAAGCCTAAAATGTTTATTTATCTGACCTTCATATAAACAATTTGCCGACCTCTTTGGGCAAAGTCTTATGTTTTAACATAAGAAAAATCAAGGGATTCCTATATTTCTCACAGGATATATATATCGAGATATATATGTGTATATATAATTTTTTTTTTTTTTTTTTGAGTTGGAGTGTCACTCCGTCACCCAGGAGTGCAGTGGCACACTCGTGGTCACTGCAACCTCAACCTGCTGGGTTCCGGTGATTCTTCCACCTCAGCCTTCTGCCTTCCAAGTAGCCAAAACTACAGGCGCGTGCTACCACGCCCAGCTAATTTTTTGATTTATTGTAAAGAGACAAGGTCTCACCATGTTGCCCAGGCTGGTCTCGAACTTGTGGGCTCAGGCAATCCTCTCGCCTCGGCCTCCCAAAGTGCTGGGATTATAGGCTTGAGCTACCAGCCCGGCCATATGTCGGTTTTGATTGACAAAGACGTTCTTCCCAGTTACGGTCAAGGGCTGGGGGCAGTTGCCTGCCAACCCCATGACATCGTCCTCCCTAACCCTGAGCTGCCCACCTCGCTATTGGAAAAGCCCCCTGAACTTTGCATTTCTGCCCTTCCTTTTCCTGCTGTGAATTTTTTTTTTTTGAAGGTGAGAAAGGATTTATTAAGACAGAAAAGCTCCTACAGCGGGAGGGAACCTGAAAGAGGTTGCCTCCGCTATGGGATCTTAAGCAGTGAATATTTTACCTCCCTTGGTCTCAGTTTCCCTGTTTATGAAAAAACTCCTGACTTCATAGCGTGCTTGGGCAGATGAAACAAGAACCCAACTCCCCACCTGTTTTCTTCTGCTCCATAGCAAATAGCTCCACAGAAAAGCCGACTCCGTTCTAGTGATGTATGTGTAATCTTTTATTAGTGCGGGTGTCCTAAAGTACAATCCGGGTGCATGGAAAACAGTGGAAGATTCCTACCCGCCGCATGGGGGCAGCATCTCCTTTTTAATTCATGTGACTACAGAAGGCATTTGGTCTTGGTGAACTGTGTGTCTGAGGTGTGGAAACCAAGGGAGGGGGAAAAGAATCATCCTTCCTCGTGACACCGGAAGGTACGCAAGTCAGGGAATGAACTTGGGGGGCGGGGGCACCCCTTTTGATGACCTACCCCATTTCATGTAAACAGTTGCCAGTGACTGGTTACCGTGGATAGATTTTTTTCTAAAAACATCCACTGAAAGAGCAAGAGGGTGTGTCTGTGTTTCCCGTGGGGTTTTTCTCACTTGGTACATCATTAACACTTAAAATTCATACCTTGATTTCAGGGTGGTGGTTTTTTAAATATTCATTGTGTGAAGGGTGTCTGTGATCTTTGGAATTTGAAAATGGATTTAGACAATGCTGAGCAGTCTGCTGGGTTCTGCTCTGTTCTGGTTTTTTTCGTTTGTTTTGTTTTTCCTGCTGTGATGGCAAAACTCTAGCAATTTGTTTATTCACTGGCTTTGGTTCCATTGAAGTCTGCATCCCGAGTGTCCATTTCTTCCTCAGAGCCATCCGCGTTTTCAATAACTCTACGTCCTCCAGACCTTCTAGAAGGGACAAACGAGGTCTCGTTTCCTCGCCTGTAGGTTTTAATAAGAAAACATGTTTCTTTAGTAAAGAAACTTCCGTCGAGGTTGAACTCAATTGTTATAAGGGGTAGAAAGCAAACACACTCAAAACCCACGAGATGCAGATATTTGGGATGAGATCAACAAATCCTGGACCATCTTAAGTTGGGTCGGTTCCTTTTAACCCACTGAAATGGGGGAGGGGAGTTGGTTTTTCAGAGCGAGGTGGTCTGCTTTTTAAAATGCCTGGCTTGGTCATCTGAGGACCCACAGAAGTCTGGTCAGCTGAGGTCTTTGATTTAGAAGAGGAAAAAAAGGGCTGGTGGGGAGTCAGGTCCCCTGTTTTTATTCTCACTGATGGGGATCATACGAAGGAGAGAGAAAAATGTTCTTTCTCCTTCAGCATCCCCCCCTCCCCCTCCTCTCTTTAGAAAGGGGAGAGTTTTTGCTTTCTGTTGGAAGAAGCTGAAATGGACAAGGATGGCCTTGTGCCATCCAAGCCTGGGAGGGAAGCCTGCTCCCTGGGTAAATGGCGAGACGGCGCCCCCTGCTGGTATAGAGCTTCCTGGACTCAGATTTCCCCCACAGCAGGGATTGTGTCTGGCTTTTTGCGCAGTGGATACCATAAGATAGGTGCTCAATGAGTATTTGTTAGAAAAGGAAGTTATACGTGATAATCCAGGATGGCAGGACACCCCCCTCTCTGTCTTTCCCACTCTTCCCTAGTCCTGCTGGATGCCCTAATTTCTCCCCAGCCCCTCCCCCCCAAGGGCCAATCATGTGACATGAGCCTTTAGGTGGGAGAGAGGGATGGGCAGAAGGAGGAAAAGTAAGATCCTTTTGTTAGCTGACCTTTGCTGTTTGGAAGAAACGCTTAGCTATTTTCAGCAACCTCAACAGATAACATGTTAGGCTCTGGCCTTCTGGCCCTGTTTGACCTGAATCCGAAGACAGATCTTAACTCATTTTAGAACATCTAAGAAGAAAGCAGACTTTTGTAACCAAAACCACCGGTTCCCCACAGCAAGGCTTGACAGAAGCCCCGAGGGTGAGTCTACCCCAGTCACTAATTCTTTACTCAAAAGGAACAATTCAGGTAAGTTCAGAGGCAAAAGCAATGCCCAGAGATTCATGATTGCTGAGCAGGGGAACCCCAACAGTACCCAGGCTGGGAAAACCCACCGTGTGTAGAGAAGGGGGTTTCCAGCCATGCAGCAATCAGGAATAAATACTTAAAGTTGTAGCCATTCCCAACTAAACACTCCTAGGCCAGCTTCACTCGCCTCAGAGGAAAGCTTCCAGGCGTCCAGTCCCATTAGAGAACTGACTCTCCATCCTCTTCTCTAGCACTGTTTTCCATGAATTTAGATCAGACAAGGATCCCAACGGTCAGGGTGGAAAGAGGAACATTTAGTCAGTTGTGCTGTTCACCATCCATTCCCCACACAGCGCTGCTGCGCCTGCTTTTATCTCCAGGTTCAAACCCTCTGTGGGCTAGCCTGGGACTGGGGAACAGTGCCTCCCCTACGTTTCAATGCCCAGGCCCTCCCTCTCTCTGTCTCCTGGGAGTGTCTGCGTTTGCTAGCTGGAGACATTTCACAGATTAGTTTGCTCCCTTGACCTAAAAAGTCAGTTGAACCCTGGGCCATCGTAAATTCCCAGTCTGTCCTGGCCCAGGTGCCTTTCTGGAAGGAAATGATTTCTAATCCTACCCAGGGTTGATACCGGCTATATCTTTTCCAGGAAGGGACCCCTGGAAAGATCTTCAAGGGTCCAATTCTGGAACACGTGGGTTCTATTCCTGGACTCAAAGAACTTATCCGAGGCACTGCTGGCACTAGGAGTCATGAGAGTATGCCATGCAAGGACTGGGTTTTCTCACTGGCTGGTGGGTCCCACGCTCCAGCCCTGGAATTCAGCTTATCCTCTGATGCCAGTGAGCTGGAGGAGAGTTTCCCAGTGTTCTGGAGACAAATGTCCCTGAAAGCGCTCACCAAGACCTCACCCAGCTTTAAGTATTTCAGTAGCAAAGCCGAGATTCTCCAAAATGGAAGATGGACACACGTGAGGGCTTGCCCAGCCTCACCGAGGGGGTGAGGGAGAGGTCCCTGCTGCCTAACTTCACCTACGGAAAGGTGTTAACATCCTGAAGAAGCATAGGCCTCTCTGCCATCTTCTGGGAAGGGCCCCATGTGCTTCCTCAAGTCTTGGGTGTTCATCCCCCCTCCTTGAGTACACACGTGCCCATGAGGCCTCTGGAAAAGGCTCGTTCATCCCCCTTCCTTGAGTACACACGTGCCCATGAGGCCTCTGGAAAAGGCTCTGCGGTGGCCGGCTTCCACACTGACATGCTGAGAATGCAGTTAGAAGTCTAACCTGAAGCAAGCCCCATGTAGCCCCAACAGTCATAAGATGCTGCAGAATGAGTGCAGATGAGTTTGTGAAGCCTTCGTCAAGGGAAGACAAGTTGCTGGGCTGTGGTGACTATGAACCTGTGCTCTGTTATCTCCAACTTGTGACCCAGGCTAGCCACATTGAAGCCAAGGGCATCCTCCAGGAAGGGACCCAGGTTGTGTGACTGCCATGTTCACTCAGTGGGTGGCTTAACCAGACAAGGGTGAATAGCGCTGCCAAATGCCCTCACAGTGTCAGAGTGGCCCCCAGGCATGAAGTTAAGGAAAGTTCAAGCAACATACACATACAGGCTCTAACATCTCGTCGGGATACTGTGATAAGGGCACACAGCTGGGTGCCATGTCACATGCACTGCCATGTCACATGCACGGCCCAAGAGATGAAGTCTGCATGTCCCCGTGATCTGGGTTTTGATAAAAGACCGTTTTGAACTATGTTATCCAAGCCTTCTGATTTGCAGGAATCTCACGGAAATGCGCAAGGGCTAACAACAAAAAAAAAAAATGGGGGGGGGGTTGGGGGGTCGGAGGGGCCTGCCGTTCAGAAAGGAAATGGGACACAGAGTGCCACACACAGGAGCTGCGAAGCTGAGGCATATACCTGGTGAGTCACTGCGAGGTGTCCTGTGGGGGGGGCCCTCTGAAACAGAGAGAGAACCCTCAGTGGTTACATCAGCAGGTAGAAAGGAGTCCTGTTATGTGTGTCTACATTAAAGGTGTTCGCTTCAATTTGTTCCTTAAGTCAGTGTTTCGCTCTGTGGCCCAGGCTGGAGTACAGTGGTGCGATCATAGCTCACTGCAGCCTCAAACTCAAGGCCTCCAGCATTCCTCCTACTCAGCCTCCTGTGTAGCTAGGACTACAGGTGTGTACTACCATGCCTGGCTAATATTTTAATTTTCTTTTATTTTTTTAGAGATGGGGGGGTCTTACTTTATTGCCCAGGTTGATCTTGAACTCCTGACCTCAATTGATCCTCCCAGCTTGACCTCCCTAAAATGCTGAGATTACAGGCACATGCCACCACACCTGGCTAATTTTTTAATTTTTTGAAGAGATGGAGGGCTCCCTTATGTTGCCCAGGCTGTCCTTGAACTCCTGACCTCAAGCAATCCTCCCACCTTGGCCTCCCAGAGCACTGGGATTATAGGCGTGAGCCATTACACCCAGCCAGACTTTTGAGTCAACCTTTCTGCAAAGCATCTGAAGTCACAAACTCTTGGCAAGGGTGTGCAAGGACAAGCATTTTTTGTTCGTTTTTTTACTTAAGGGAAAATCTTCAGAGCTTCATTTAGACCCTTCTACACATCCCATTACTGCATAGCTGTTTAGGAAGGTAAAGGCATTTGAGCAAGCCAGCCCAAAGCATCAAGCACCCAGTCCTGGGCAGGGGCCCTGCCTCCACGTCTCATTTGACTTTATCACTTGATTATTGTTCCTTCGTCAGCGCTCGGCCTCCAGCACAAAAGCAGAGGTGAGCACCTCTTGCAGCTCATGTCGGAGTGGACTGGCAGTGTGTCATACAGTAGGGACATGGGCCAGGCTCTAGAGAGGGCATGTGCTGAGACCCACCTGGCTGACAGAACTGTGTGAAACTTGCTTGGCTATTCCTGTTAGCTGAGGGGCTGCCAGCCTCACCCGAGGTACCAATACCCAATTTGTTTTTTGTGTGCCTAGAAGACTCAGAGAAGGCAGGGGAGGCTGGATAGGACTTCCGCCTGCACAACATGTGTGCTCGTAATTGGGACTGGCAAAAGTGGCTTGTTCCAGGCTGACCAGGGCTGTGTGGGAGGGGCCGGATGTTTGGGCCGAACCCACCGGGATTTTCAGTGTGTACTGGAGCAATCACTGCGCCAGGGCTGAGAAAAACAGGGGCAAAGACAGCAGCTGGGGAGAGCGCTAGAGTGACTGTGGCTCCAGCACTCGGCCCAGCCACTGGAGTGTGGGGGAAAAGGGCAAGTTGCCACCATAATGCACTTGTGGGCTTCTGTGACGGGAACAGCTGACCCCTCCACCCCGGGAGCTGCTCTGAGGTTGGGTCTGGTTTCTGTCCCATCCATGGGAACCCCCAGTCTCTCACCTTGCAGAGGGCTCCTCCTTCAAGTCTTGTGACCTTGAGCTAGCCTCTGTCTCTCCCTCTCAAAGGGGTCTGGGCTTTCCCCTTGTCTTGGACAGTGGTGCCCAAAATTGATTCTGGACACCAGTTACTGAACCTCATGGCTCTCACTTTGGCATTCTCACATGGCATTCCCTTTCCAACTCTTTTAAATAGGTCTGATTATATTAGTGAGAGTCTATTAGGGGGCTAATATCTGTTGTCACTTCTCCCTGCCTCTTTTTGTAGTGACAGGGTCTCACTACATTGCCCAGGCAGGTCTTGAATTCCTGGGCTCAAGCAATCCTCCTGCCTTGGCCTCCCAAAGTGCTGGAATTGCAGGTGTGAGCCGCTGTGCCGGCCATCACTTCCTTTTTAACTGAGAAGTTGGCTTCAGGTCTTGGTTATCAGTTTGTGGCCACAACAGCTAGATACTGAACTTGATACTGTTTCGTGTTCACTGTATTTAATTTTGTTGTGACCTGTGAATACAGGTAATACTGGCAAAAAAATATAGGGTTGGTCAGTTTTATTTGTAATGAGAGGTGTGTGATTAAAACAGTTAACGTCCAGAAAAAGACTGAGTCAGCAGTAGTGCAGGCTGCACTAGGCTAAGGCAAGTGCCTGGGGGATGTGCGTGACTGAAGGCAGGGGAACGCCACGTAGGATGCGACGGCTGGAGGTCCACTCTGGGCCCAGCACTGTTCTAGCCACGGGATGGATCACCAAACAGAGCCTCTGTGCTCACGGGCTCACGGCCAACAGGAAGACAGACCATGAACGAGATAAGGAAGTAAAATGAGTAGCAGGTTACCTGGTGACGTGTAGGGGAAGGGGCAGGGGACTTAGCGTTGGAATGGAATGGGTTGGAAATCTGAGGGTGACCTTTGAGTAGGGATCCGAAGGGAGAGAGGGAGCTGAGCAGAGAGCTGGGGGAGAGAGTGGGAACTTGCAGTGCAAAGTCCCTGTGGCAATGAGCTTGAGCGGGTCTCACGGCAGCACTGGCCCTGGTGGGGCTGCACAGTTCAGCACAGAAGTGGGAAGAGGGTTGGAGGAGCGAGCACACGTGTAGGTGGTGGGGGCCAGCCAGGGGGGGTGTGAACATTTTGTGATCGTTTCTGCAGTTAGATAGGTGAGGTCCTCAGTGGAGTGAGGGTGGAGGGGGTGAGTAAGTATAAGGAGAAAGTAAAGCAGGTATCTGAGAGTGGGAAGATGAGCGGTGCAGGGGGGTCCAGGCTGCACCAAGTGAGGTCTGCTTTCATCCTTGCCCCCAAGCACTTGGAGCGGAGCACGCCATGGTGTCGCCTGGTTCTCTCGTGCTGCTTTGCACTGCTGGAAGGTGTTTCATTTGGGGTGTGTTTTCACCAAGTGGTTGTGGCCAAGCAAGTGGGGACCGGCTGCTGAGGACATGTGGTAGGGTGGCTGCGTGGCTGGCCGTTGCTGGGAACTGGGTCTGGGGCCGCCACCAATGGGGTGAAGACTCTGGGAGGGACATAGTCAAAGAAAGCGTGCGCCAGCCAGATGACAGATGCTTGAGGGTCTGATTGTGAGGGTGTGGAGGTGCCGGTCACACCCATGAGAGTGCAAGATCCCCAAGAAGGTAAATAGGTGAGAGGCTGGATCACCCACTGGGATACTGAACTCATGGGGGGGAGGTGTGGCAGGAGAGACGGAAACCCAGAGCTGAAATCTCCAGGGAGCGACCGCACAGTGATGGAAACAGCCCCGGGAGCAAGAGAGAAAGCAGCCCCACACAATGAGGGCAGAAGTGCTCAGCCTGCCAGGGGATTTCTGGCAATGTCTGGAGACATTTTGGGTCATCCCATTTCAGGGTGGGGGTTGCTACTGGCATCTGGTGGAGGCCAGGGATGCTGCCCACACCCGCCAGGGTATCGGACAGCCCCCAACACAGAGTACAGTCAAGATGGCAGTAGTGCTGTGGGTGGGAAAGGAGAGAACGTCCCAGAAAGAGGGTCAGGAGAGAGGAGGTTTTGCAACCTCAATGGATGCAAGGAAGACAGGGTTTCAGAAGAGGAGCGCATAGTGCCTCTTCCTCTCCCTCACCAGGAGGATGAATGAAGGCGGTTGTTGAAGAATCTAAGCTCAGAGTGGGCAGGGCCCCAGTACCACTGGGCCGGCTGAGGTGCCTGGTCCACACTAGTCAGCGATGAGGAAACAGCAGGAGGAAGCCATGGAAGGGGCAAGGGTTTTGAGCACAGGGGGCATTTGCAGTGATTTGCGGACGCACTGCACAACGACCGGAGCCCCAGCCATAGGGCTGCCCTCCAGCCCCAGAGACTGGGTCCTCCCAGGGTGCAGGCTCCTCACCTGAGCTTGCTCTTGAGCGCATTCACCTCGCGGCCCATGGCTTCATTGCTCTCGGTGGCCTCATCCAGCTCCCGCTGCAGTTTCCTGCGGTTGGCGTTGATGCGCTGGGACTCTTCCTCCGCCTCCTCCAGCTGCCTCTTGAGCTGCTTGACCCTGGCGTTGCCTTTCTCTGCCTGTCCAGGAGAAGGAGAGGGTCGGGGAGGCCGGGCCTGGGTGTGTGTGTGGGAGGAGGGCGTGAGGGCTGGGTGTGGGCGGGGCCGGGACTACCTGCTCCTTGTACTGCTCCGCCATCTTTCGCTCGTCTTCCACCTGCAGCAGGACTTCCTTTAGTTTTTTGTCCTTCTGCTTCAACGACTTGGCGGCCGCCTGCTTCTCTCTGTACACGTTGGGGAACCGGAGATGGTTTCAGATGAGGATGGGGCCCCTGGCGGCAGATATGCCAGCTCACCCTCCATGAGCTCTTTCCCCAGCCCCAAACCAGGACTCTCCCAGGGATCAGTCAGATGGTAGTATTCACCCACGAAAGAAAATACAGTACCAAGGCACACAACAGCAGGGATGATACCTTGCACCTTTGCCAAGTGAAAGCAGACAGACACAATGGTGTGTCTTGTGATTCCTTAGGATCCAATACCAGAACAGGTAAATCCAGAGAGACAGAAAATGGGCTGAGGTTGGGGGTTGGGGGCGGCTGGGGGGACGTGAAATGGGGGTACTGGCCAAAGGGCATGGAGTTTCTTTTTAAGGTGATGAACTGTGGTGATCATTTTTCATGTCTGTGAATAACACTGAAAGCTGTTGAATTACACCCTCTAAATGGGTGAACTATAGGGTACGTGAATTATCAATAAAGCTACAAGAAAGAAAAAGGAATGGGCTGGAATCTCAGAGCTCATGGTCAAAGATGTGCTGTGACCTTATGCCTCAGTTGACCCCCCAATTCCATGAGAAGCCTTCCCAGATTGTGTGCTTTGGGCTGGTGGTTGAACGTGGGGGTATCTGTTGGCACGATATCGTGGCACACAGAGGTTGGGCAAAACCTCACATGCACCTGGGCAGGCTGGCGGATGTCATGAGGACTGGTGATCCTAATAGCAGCTCACATTGGGTGCCTGCTCTAGGTTGTTTGTGTCCTGGTCTCTCTCTGTTGTCTGGTCTCTCTCTGTAGGTTGTTTGTGTCCTGGTCTCTCTCTGTTGCCCAGGCTGGAGTGCAGTGGCAGAATCACGGCTCACTGCAGCCTCAAAATCCTGGACTCAATCAATCCTTCTGCCTTAGCCCCCCCTAAGTAGCTGGGACTACACGTGCACACCACCACACCCGGCTAGTTTTTAAATTTTTTATAGAGATGAGGTCTTGCTATGCTGCCCATGCAGGTCTCAAACTCCTGGAGTCAAACAGTCCTCTTGCCTTGGCCTCTCAAAGGGCTAGGATTACAGGCATGAGCCACTGCACCTGGCCTGCTCTAGGTTTTCGTTTAGTTCTCTCAACACACCTGCAAGTGTGGATCCTGTTTGCCACCAGCCAGGGCTGATGCTCAGAGAGGGTGCCTGACTTCCCTGACATCCCCCCACCAGTCACCAGCAAGCAAGCTGGGGTTGGAACTCCGATCCCACGTACCTGGCCTCCTGCTCGACCTGCTCCTCCAGCTGTGCAATCTTGGCCTCCAGCGCTGCGATAGTGGACTTGAACTTGGACTTGACAGCCCCCTCCATCTCCTGGAGCTTGCTCCGGAGCTCCTTGTTCTGCCGCTCTAGCTGCTGTCGGGCGCTCTCATTCTTCTGGGCCGCACTGCGTTCTGTGGCCAGCTCGTTGTTGAGCTGCTCGACCTGGGGAGGAGGGTGAATGCTGTGAGGTGGATGCAGGGATGGCCAGACGGTGTGCTGAGGCTTCCTCCTGCCGCCTCCAGCCTCGGTCACTGCTGCACTAGTCCCTGAGTCTGGGCATCCCGCCCTCCTCCCTTGCCATCATCCTTTAAGACTCATCTCAGGAGCCCCTCTTCCAGAAGCATCACGGTGCCACCCAGCTGAGTGTAGGCCTGTCCCATGCTGCCTTCTGTGTCCTGGAGTCACCTGGAGAATGATGCCTGTTCTGCACCCTACACTAGGGGCTTCAGGTCACACAACAGTCCCCAGCGCCCACCACAGAGCTGGCACCCGGTTTATGTCTCCCTCAGTCCATCACTGAGGACTTACTGTCACGAGGCCGGGGCTTGGGGCTGAGCAGAGAGCAGTGAAGGAGCACCCAAGGCCCTCACCCCAGGGACATGTGTCTAGTGGAAGGAGCCAGCTGTGTCCTGGCCAGCACATGAGACGCTGCAGGTAGGGAGCTGCGTGACCCACGGGGGGGGGGTGTGAGAGCCCTGGTCCCCGCCCGCAGGTCTCACCGCCCACCTGGGGCCTGCACACAGACAGCATCCAGGCACCTACTGAGCCTGTGCTGGCCTTTGCAACTGTGCCCTCACCTGCTGCGTGGCCTTGCGGACCCTGTCACTCATGGCCTCCATGTTGCCCTGCTCCTCCTCCAGCTCCTCCTCCAGCTGGGCGATCCTGGCCTCCAGGCGCCGCTTCTCATCCTGAAGTGTGTTCCTGGGGGAAGTGCAGCGGTGCTGGGGCCTCCACCCTCCTCCTCCCCCAGCTTGGAAAACACTCCGTGGTTGGGTGCAGTGATGCATGCCTATAATCCAGCACTTTGGGAGGCCAGGCGAGAGGATCGCTTGAAACCAGGAGTTTAAGATCAGTCTGGACTACATAACAAGACCCTATCTCTCCAGAAAATAAAAAAGTCAGCTGGGTGTGGTGGCGCACGCCTGTGGTTCCAGCTGCTTGGGGGGCTGAAGTGGAAAGATCGCCTGAGCGCAAGAGGTCAAGGCTGCAGTGAGCCTGGGCAACAGAGTGAGACCCTGACTCAAAAAAACCAAAACCCCACATGCCCTCCTTGAAGGGAGTGATGCCTCAGGAGTACCCTTATTCTCCAACAGGGGAAACAGGATTGAGGAGGATTACACTCGTCCAAAGTCACATAGCCAGGAAGTGTGGTGTCCAGTCCATGTCAGCAAAGCCAGGAATGGAATAGGGACCAGCTTTGTCCTCCCTGACACTGCCCGGCCTCCCCATGTCCCCACCAGGATACTCATTCAGAATAAATGAAATTGGCCACACCCCCAGGTAGGGACGTGAAAGCCCCAGGAAAACACCTTTATCATGGATCTGTCTCCCGCTGTAAGCTCAGGTGAGGGCTCTGACATCGACAGCATTAGCACAAGGAGTCCAGGATGCTTTCCCAGTAGCCACCCCTCCCTCATCCCAAGTTAGACCCCCTTCCTCCGCACAGGGCTCCCTACCTTCCCGACAGGCTGCTGGCCAGCTCCTCGGCCAGCTCCTCCTTCTCCAGGTCTGCCTGCTTTCGAGCCCTCTCAGCTGCAGCCAGGTCCTAGGGGGCAGGACGGGGAGGAGCCTGCTGTCTGCCAGGGAAAGGCTGTGCCCCACTGAGTGTCCACCCTGCTCTGGCAACCCTTGAAAATGCATATTCCTCCCCATAAGTACGCACGAGTCTCTCCATGTTACTAGGGGGTCCACCTCTGTGGCATGCTGGGGGGAAGGACGTTTGTGGACCTACGAACCTGGCCACCAAGCCACTCTCACAACACCCTGGTTGAGGCTCTCCCAAAAAGAGGAAAGATTTACCTCTTGTAGCTGCATGAGGTCTGCTTCCAAGCTCTTGGCTTTCTTCTCGTTCTCTTTGGCTGTGGCAAAGATCTCATCTCTGGAAGCACGGGCATCCTCTAGCTCTCTCTGGAAATCTTTCATCTGAGCCTGCGTGAGTCGAGAGGAAGATTCCTCTAAGCAGTCCTTATGCACCCAAGTTCTTCTGCCCAAATGCCTTTGCACGCTGACCCCTTGCATTTTCTGCAGCTGATCCCATTGCACAGGGAGTGCCCCAGACTCAGGTGGTGGGTGGCTGTCTGTTTGGAGACACCATTCTGGAGGGGCTCAGCAAACCTGTCTAGGAAGATGAGCTCCTCATGTGATCAGAGGGCGGTGGCCAAATGCCTGACCATGGTGCCCCACCCAGGGCAGGAAACAGCCACCAAAACCTAACAGGGAACAGAGAACCGCCAGCTGGACTAACACCCACTTCCTGGGGCCTGCTCTGCCGATTTCCTTGACCTGGTGGAGCGGTGCCCTCCTCCACCCGTGTCCTGAGCTCTGGCTGTCACCCACCTGCAGTTTTCGGAGCTGCTTGATGGCCTCCTCCCGTCCCTTGATGGCCGAGTCAGCCTGGAGCTCCAAGTCCTTCAGGTCCCCTTCCAGCTTCTTCTTAGCGGCGGCTGCCAGGGCACGTTGTTTCCGCTCATCCTCCAGTTCCGTCTCGTACTCGTGCAGCTGAGCAGAGAGGAGAGATGTGTGTGTGCTGCCCGGCCGGTCCCGGGCAGCCCTGCACCTCCCTCCCCTGCCAGGTGGGCTGCCCAGCCAGGTCACAGATGAGAAAACAGGGTCTCCCAGAAACCCATAGGTGGCGGTGACGGGCCGGACTGGGCCGGCCGCCTGCCCGCCCTCCCCTGACGGCGCCCACCTGCCTCTGCAGCTGCCGCCTCTTCTCCTCGTTCTGCTCATCCCGGGCCTGCAGGTCTCTCTCGAACTGGCCCTTGAGAGCCTGCATGTTGACCTCCAGCCGCAGCTTGGCATCCTCCGTGGCCTGTAGCTCGTCCTCCAGTTCCTCCAGCTGGGTCTTCATCTCCTCCATCTGGGTCTCCAGGGCCCGCTTGGACTTCTCCAGCTCGTGGACCTGGTGGGCAAGGCGACAGCCCCATCCCATGAGGCTCAACTGCACGACAGTGGCCAAGACCCCCACCGCTAGAGGCAGCTCATGAGGCGGCGGCGGCAGCCTCTCGTGGGATCAGGACCGGGAGCCCTCAACCCAGCCCTGTCTCCTCTGCTGTTCCCAGCCCCTCTTGTCTCTGCAGGGCCCAAGGCACTGCCTGCCATTCCTGATGGTCCCTAACCCAAAAGAGGCACAGAACTGCCTCCTGCGAACAGATCCACAGCAGAGGGTGGCTGGGTGAGACGTGGACCAGAAAAGACAGGAGACCCACTCACGTTCTTGCCCACATCATCCTTGGAGCTGACAAGGTCCTCCATTTCGGCTTTGAGCATTTTGTTGGTCCGCTCGAGTTCTTCTTTGGCTTCCAAAGCCTCTTCGAGGGCCCGAGCCAGGGACAAGGCCTTGGTCTCCTTCTCCCGGGCCTCCGCCTCGGCTCTGTCTCTCTCATCCGCGTATTTGGAAGAGATGTTTTTCTCCTCAGCTAATAACTGCAACACAGCAGAAGGTCCAGAGGTGACATCCAGGCATGTCCAAGGGTCACCTTCACTGAATTGCCAATGTGGGGAGGAAGCCGGTCCTATTTAGATATCTGTGGCAGGACTGTAGAACAGTGTTGCTTTCTGACTTCCAGATCAAGCAGAGGCAGAGCCAGAAATCCACTGAATCCCTGTGCTTTGAAACTGCTAAAGCTGCCCACGTTGGTTAGAACACACTGCTACTAAGGTCAAAGTGACTTTTTGTTTTTTTAGAGACAGGTCTCGCTATGTAGCCCGGGCTTGTTTCGAACTCTGGTCTCAAGTGATTCTCCTGCCTTGGCCTCTGAAAGTGCTGGGATTACAGGCATGAGCCACCGTGTCTTGCCCAAAGTGACCTTTAATCCTGCCAGAAGTCAGTTTTCACTTTGTTGTCTCATGGCCACAAGTAGCTGTCTCACAAAAGTGACCCATGAGCCACAGTAAGGAAATGGTCAGTATGGAGGGACTGGCACACACTTATCCCTCTGCTTGGAGAGGCAACTCAAAGAGCATTCCATACCTATGTTCATCTCACCTACAGAGAGACAGAGCAGTATACTGTAACACCCAAAAACCAGATTTTCAGAGTTCAGCAAACACAGGTAAGTAACAGCACAGGCAACACAAAAATCCCACATGGTATGTGACACTACACTCCACGTGACAGGAAAATAATAAAAGCAACCTCAGGCCTTCAACCAGATAACGCAGCAATGATGACAGGATGACAGCCCAGAGAAGGGATGGCGGGTGGAAAAAGGGAAAATTGGGTTGCCATATAGAATCCTGGCACTCAAGGCTGTCGGCGGGGCAGGGAACCCCCATGGGTCTGGCATTTAGTCTCTCAGTATAACCCCAAAACTGATTTTTAGAATAGCACTTAGTCACCTGTAAACTAAATCATATTTACTACATATGGGTAATGTGTATTAAAAGTTGGTACTTAGGGGCTTGGGTTATATAAGTATGTATTTATCCTCAAAGGGAAATATTTTGCCAGTGTGGAAGAGGTGTAACAAAGCATGGCAGAGGCTTCAAAATCGGTGAGTTCGAAACAATTTTGAGCAGAGGAAAAAGCATCTCGATAGGTGTATTGCATCAAATGTAGAGTACTTTGAAGGTGACTAAGTTTAAATGTGTGAGAATAAATACATAACTGTTTATAATAAATTCTGGGATGTTTTGGGTTTTTTTTGGTCCCTCCTCTGATAGTAAAATATTAAATCCAGGTAGTGGCTATACAGGTGTTCACTGTACAATTCTTTCAACCTTGCTGTGGCCTTAACATTTTCCATAATGAAACATTAAGAAAAAGTGGTATTTAAAGGGTAGAAACTGTCTGGGCACAGTGACTCCACACCTGTAATCCTAGCACTTTGGGAAGCTGAGGCAGGAGGATCACTTGAGCCAAGGAACTTGAGACTAGCCTGGGCAACATAGTGACCTGTTTCTATTTTTAAAACTTTAAATTTAGCTGGGTGTGGTGGCTCAAACCTGGTGTGGTGGTAACCCCAGCACTTTGGGAGGCCAAGGCAGGAGGATTGCTTGAGCCCAGGAGTTTAAGACCAGCCTAGGCAACATAGTGAGACCTCATCTACAAAAAATTTTAAAAATTAGCTGGGTGTGGTAGCACATGCCTGTAGTCCCAGCTACCCAGGAGGCTGAGGCAGATCAAGGCTGTGGTGAGCCATGATTGTGCCACTGAATTCCAGGCTGGGCGGCAGAGCGAGATCCCAACTCAAAAATTTAAAAAATTAATAATAATAAAAAAATAGAATAGAACCTGAATTGCCTGAGATACTCAATAAACACTCACTGAGTGAATAAAGTCACCCCTTATTAAGACTGGAAACGAAGGCATCACACGATGGCCCTCGTGACAGTGGGACCTAGAGCAGTCACATTCGCCAAGTCCTCTGTGCCATCCTCACTGTAGTCTGGAGGCCTGAGTGTCTCACAGTCACCCACAGCAAGACAAGTTAGCCTTTCGTTGCTTCCGGGAGCAGAGCAGAGAAGGGACGCAGACACACACAGCAGCCAGGCTGGGTACTGGGCAGGGCGGAGGACCCACCAGGCCCTACCTGATCAAACTTCTTCTGCTTCTTCTCCAGGTTGGACACCAGTTGCCGCTGGTTGTCCAAGTCAACAACCAGGTCATCCAGCTCCTGTTGAAGCCTGTTCTTGGTCTTTTCCAGTTTATCGTAGGCAGCTGCCTTCTCCTCGTACTGCTGGGTGAGGGCTTCGATCTCCTTCTGGAACCTCTTCTTCCCCTCCTCCATGGCTTCCACGGTGCTGGCAAAGTCCTGTAGCTTCTTCTTGGAGTCGGAGAGCTGAAAGGACCATGTCCAGGTGGGGTGAGAGAAGGGTCTTGAGTGACCCCCATCCCCGCACCCCAAGCCCTGAGAAGTGGAGACCGACCACCTTCTCTTTGGGGACACCCAACAGCAGGAGGCAATGGTGAGCCAAACACTGTGGCCAACAGCCCTCCTGAGCCCCTGCTGGCCAAATGGGGACCACTCTGAGGAAGCTGAGGGGACCCGGGACCCAGGGAGGACACACTGCAGGCACCTGGATGTTGAGTGTGGAGATGTGGCGCTCCAGGTTCTGCTTGGCCTCCACCTCCTCGTCCAGCTGGTCCTGCAGGCTATTCCTCTCGTCCTCCAGCTGCCGCAGCTTGGTAGACACATTGAGCTTCTGCCGCGTTTCTTCCTGGAGCAGCTCCTGTGGAAAGGACGTGTGGAGGTCCTGGGACCCGCCCTGAGGAAGGTCGTGTCCTAGGCCCCCCCCAGAGGATGTGGCAGGACGCTCACCTGGGTGTCCTGGAGCTGGGACCCAAGGGATGCCACGTCCTTGGCCAGCTTGATGGCCTTCCCCTCAGCCTCGTTGAGCATCCCCGTGACACTCTCCACTTCACTCTGAGAGGCCGAGAGGTGGGTTAGTAGAAGCCTTGAGAACAGGATCCTCATAACGTAAGAGGAGTCTTGTTACTCAGAACACTACACGCCCTCATGGGCGAGGACTTTGGTGTCCACTGATTGAGAAAATCCCCACAAGGTGTGAGACTCTGACGGGAACAATTCTGCGGCCTCAAAGGGAAGTCTGTCGCCTATAAGCTAGGCTCCCCAGTCCTACACTCTGTGATTCGAAGAACTTGTGAGAGCCCCAGCTGTATTGACTGGACCTAGATCCCACTAACCGGATCCTGGATCCCTGCCAGGGTAGGCAGAGATGAAGCAGCGGATCTGAGAGATGCCAGGCTGGTCCACTCCTGAGGTTGGAGAAGACTTCTTAGGGGTCCTGACCCCGCCCCTTCCGCACGCTACTCTTCGCCCTTCCCGACCCTGACGGCCAAAACCAAAGCTGCAGACTGCAAAAGTCAAAAGCCCCCTATGGATCCCCTGCCTCCTACTCGGCCCCTGGTGTCTCTGAACGGGTTCTTGGAGAGATCAGCCTCCCTCTGTCTCTTCCCGTTGACAGCGAGGCCATAAAAATCCCGATTCACTCTTCCGGGACGTTGCTTGCATTAGGGCAGAAAACTCCTGCTCTCAACTGCATGTGGAAACGTCACACTTAATGCTTCCCTGCCCCTTTGTGCCAGGCTGTGAGGACATTCAATATTTATCAAAAGTACGGCCAGATGCCTATTCCAAGTGCAGTCAGACCAAAGATACACACACCCTGTCCTTCTCCAGCTTAAAACCTTCCATTGCTTGGTGGGACCCAGAAAAGCCCAGCATATGTGTAATGCATTCTCAAAGGGCTGTGTCATCTGGCCCAACCTCCCCCTGCAGGCCCTTGTACTTTCCCCACCTCAGCAGCGTGGCTCTGCTGGCCATACCTGTCTCTTCGCATTGTCCCGCATACCACCGAGCCCTTGCACATGCTGTTCCCGCTACCAGGTAGATGTCAACTTATTCATCCTTAGGGAAGCCTTTCCCGACTCCTCCCCCAGGCCAGCCCCCTGGTTACTTACACTTACTGCATCGTGGGCTTCCCCTTTCCCCCATAATTTTACATCCAGTTGAGTAATTTTTCATGTCCCCTCCCCCACCACCAGGCTGGAGTTCTGCTGGGGCAGGGACAGTATCTGCCTTCCTCCTTGCTCTCGTACCTCAGGGCTAAGCACAGTGCCTGGCATACAGCAGGTGCTCAATAAATGCTCATTGAATGAACAGCTGGTTTTTAAAGACTAAACAGAACAGGGGCACCCTCTCCTCCCCGCGAGGAATGTTGCTAGAGGAAATGACTTGCTGGGCAGCAAGAGAGACTTCAGCTGGCTGGCGAAGCATCCCTGCCTGGCTGGGTGCCGCCTCACCTGCAGCTTGTGGACCTTGTCGTTGAGTTCTGCCCGGGCACGCTCCCCATCACTGCACTTGGACTGCAGCTCCTGCAGCTGTGCCTCCAGCTTCTTCTTCTTGTGCTCCACCTCCTGCTTGGCCTGGCCCAGCATGCGTAACTCGCCCGCCAGGTCTGCGTTCTCCTTCTCCAACGTCTGCTTGCTCTTGTCCAGGTTGGCCTTGGCCTGGCAGGCAAGGGGGGAGGGGGTGGCAAGGTTTCACAGAGAGGCCCTTTCCGCTGGCAGGAGGGACCTAGGCGTGGAGCCCCAGGGCAGCGCAGGGACACACCATTGCCAGGAAGACCTGAATTCTGTTTTCCCAAAGCTTGGGAGGCTGCAGACGAACCTCCCATGAGCCGTGTCCAGCCTGCTGCCACATCCCCCTTGACCCCCTCCCTGCTTTTTAAAACACTGGTTGCCAACATTTTCATAAATGTCACACGAAAAGTTGGATTCCAGTTTCTCATTTAAAAACTCGAATGTTGTGTGTTCCGACTGTGGTGGGGGCTACACAGATATATACATTTGTTAAAATTCATTGAACCGTATACTTAAAATCGATGGGCTGGGCATGGTGGCTTGTGCCTATAATCTTAGCACTTTGTGAAGACAAGGCAGGATTGCTTGAATCCAGGAGTTTGAGACCAGCCTGGGCAACACAGCGAGACCTCATCTCTACAAAAAAATCAAAACATTATCGAGGCGTGGGGGCACACACCTGTAGTCCCAGCTACTTGGGAGGCTGAGGCAGGAAGATCTGAGCCCAGGAGGTCGAGGCTGCGGTGAGCCATGATCATGCCACTGCACTTCAGCCTGGGTGACAGAGTGAAACCCCCGACTCAAAAAAATAAACAAAAAATAAAAGGAAGCCAATTGAATGTGGAAATGTGTGTAACGGTTATAATGAGCAAAATCTGACTTGTCCAGAAATAAAGAACTGATGAAATGTTGCAAGTCTGTGTTTAGATGCCATTTGATGGGTAATAAGGATGTGGGAACAAAGATCGCCTGTTCATTTGGAGAGTGAGTGGCCTCCGTCTCATACAGTGCTTCTCAGAGGGTACTCCCAAGACCACCCCACGGGATGGAGCACCGGCCTGGACATTTGTATTTAAGGACCACGAGGGAAATGGAATGAGTTTCTAAAGCATGGAGAACAGTGTCTGGCACGTAACAAGTGCTACACTGTTTTTATTTAAAAAAAAAAAAAGTTTTTTGAGTCAGGGTCTGTTGCCCAGGCTGGAATGCAGTAGCACATTCACAGCTCACCACTGCCTTGACATCCTAGGCTCAAGTGATCTTCCCACTTCAGCTTCCCAAGTAGCTGGGACTACAGGCACACACCACCATGCACAGCTACTTTTTTTCATTTTTTGTAGAGACAAGGTCTTACTGTGTTACCCAGGCTGGTCTCAAACCTGTGGGCACAAGTGATCCTCCTGCCTCAGCCTCCCAAGGAGCTGAGATTACAGGCATATACCACAATGACTGGCAAATTTTTAGTATTTTTTTGTAGAGATGGGGTCTCGTTATGTTGCCCACGTTGGTCTCAAACTCCTGGGCTCAAGCAATCCTCCCGCCTTGGCCTCCCAGAGTGCTGGGATTCCAGGTGTGGGCTGCTGCGTGGGGCCTTTGCTTTTTATTTCACTTGTTATTTTAATGTAAAATAACATTTGAGATTGTAACGGCACAGGCAGTGAACCAGCTCCCAGAAAGGTATTCTGTAAACCACTGCACAGAAGAACGTTCACCTTGATGGAACCACATGCAAACTCCAACAGTGTTTAGGTAACGCCACCCACCTCCCAGAATCAAAACACTACAGTGAAGTGGGGAGAGGAGGAGCTGTAACACTGAGGGTATGTGATTCAGGCTTTCAGGGGCATAGGCTGATGGGAGGACACAAACTAAAAACACACCCTTGGGAATGAAACACAAGGAAATACATTTAGGGGAAGGAAAAACACCCAAGATAAAGCATTCAGAACAGGGCCATTTACCCCAAAGAGCCAACAATGGGAGACAGAATGATTAGATCTAGTTGTTCTCAGCCTATGCCAGACCAGCCTGAGCAACATGGCAAGATCCCATCTCGAACAAAAATTTTTTAAAAAATTAGCCAGGAGCAGTGGCATGCACCTGTAGTCCCAGCTACTCAGGAGGCTGAGACAGAAGGATAGTCTGAGCCCAGGAGGTCAAGGCTGTGGTGAGCTGTGGTTGTGTCACTGCGCTCCAGCCTGGGTGACAGAGTGACACCCCAATCAAAAAAAACCGGCCGGGCTTGATGGCTCAGCCTGTAATCTCATGCCTTGGGAGGCCGAGGTGAGTGAATTGCCTGAGCCTGCGGGTTCGAGACCTGCCTGGGCAACTTGGCGAGACCTCATCTCTATAATAAATAAAAAATTTAGCCGGGCATGTTAGCGCACACCTGTAGTTCCGGCTACTTGGAAGGCTGAGGTGAAAGGATCGCCGGAACCCAGCAGGTTGAGGCTGCAGTGGCTGGGAGCGGCCACTGCACTCCAGTCTGGGCGACCGAGTGAGACTCCAACTCAAAAAAAAAAAAAAAAAACCAAAAAACTATGCCAGAGAGAGCTGTTTTGTCACTGAAATCAAATAGTGACACTTACCCTCCAGGCTTCAGAGAAATTAAGATGGATAGATTTAAGTTTTGTTAAATTGTGTTAAACATCCCAGAAGTTCTGTCAGACCTTTATGTATAGATCCGATGAGTGGTGTGCTGTAGACCCTGCTCTGGGCGGGCCAGCAGGCGAGTCTAGAGCCAGAATACTTGGGCGCAGATCACAGCCATGTCACTTTGCCTCTCAGCAATCTGGATCACAGTGTCTTCGTGTGTGAAATGGGCCTAACTACCCCATAGGGCAGGTGGGAAGATTGAGATGCTGTATGGGAAGCATTTGCTAAATGCACACTGCCCTGTCATCACTGGAATCTTGTATAACTTGTTATCCGTCGTGTGTGTGTGTGTGTGTGTGTGTGTGTGTGTTGGCATCTCACTCTGTCACTGGGACTAGAGTGCAGTGGCACGCTCCCAGTCACTGCAGCTTCAACCTCCTGGGCTCAGGCGATCCTTCCGCCTCAGCCTTTTGAGTAGCTGGGATTACAGACACGTGCCACCACACCGGCTAATGTTTTGATTTTTGCAGAGACGAGGTCGTGTTGCCCAGGCTGATTTTGAACTCCTGGCCTCCATCGATCCTCCTGCCTTGGCCTCCCAAAGTGCTGGGATTACAGGCATGTATCATTACCACACCTGGCTAAATTTTCATTTTTTTGTAGAGACAGGGTTTCGCTATGCTGCCCAGACTTGTCTCGAACTCGCAGGCTCAAGTTGGTCACTGTCCTCATCCAGACCCCGAGGTGAGTTTCTTGAGGCTACTGACCCCTTGCCCTGTCACGCACCCTCTTGAATTGCTCCAGCTGTTCTGTAAGCTCTTCCACCGCCTGTGCGTGCTTCTGCCTCATCTCCTGCACCTGCGCTTCGTGGGACCGTGTCTCCTCGTCCAAGGCCTTCTTCAGCACAGTCACCTCCTGCTCCCTCTTGGCCCTGGGCAGGAAGGACACGGTGGGTGGCAACTGGGTAGAGACAGAAGCCCACCCCAGGGCTGTGCAAAGGAATATGAGCTTTGCCAGGACCCAGCGCCAATGCCCACGTCCCCTCCCCTCCCCAGCTGTGAGACCCTGGCCCACCTGCCTAACCTCTCTGGACCTGCAGTGTCCTTAACACATGGAGCTATTACCTACCCAGAATCTCCCTGAAGAGGCTAGCCGACAAACATGTGAACTATTTGATGACAGTCAAAGAACAACCTTGAACTGCAAAATGTGCCTCAAAGATGAACACTGGCGTCTTCTTTGCTTTTTTAACAGACAGGGTTTGGTGCTCTTGCTCTGTCACCCAGGCTGAAGTGCAGTGGTGTGATCAGAGCTCACTGCAGCCTCAACCTCCTGGACTCAAGTGATCCTTCCACTTCAGCCTCCCAAGTAGCTGGGACTGACAGGCACACCAAGATGCCTGGCTAAATTTTTGATTTGTTATAGAGACAAACAAGGCCTCGCTATATTGCCCAAGCTGGTCTCAAACTCCTGGGCTCAAGCGATCCTCCTGCCTTGGCTTCCCAAAATGTTGTGATTACAGGCGTGAGCCACCACACCCAGCCTTTTTGTTGTGTGTGCGTGTCTATTTTTCTAGAGTTTCCAATTTGTTCTCTCATTGAGTATGTGCTATTATTATGATGCAAAACAAGATGACCAGATGTCATGCTGCTCTGAGTTGCAGCACACTGCGACCAAGAAGGTGCTTGTATGCATACAGGGCCATAGAAACCCTATGATTCTAGCTTTGCTTCGGGGATACCCCCACACCCATCAGGACAGTGGCCGGCAGCAGGGGCGTCCCTCACCTGAGCTCCTGCTGGGTGGCTGTGCTGTCCAGCGTATCCTCCAACTCTGTCTTCAGGGCCTCCAGCTCCTCGCCCAGATCTCGCTTCTGCTTCTCGGCCTTGTTCCTGGCAGCTCGCTCAGAGTCCAGGTCCTCTTGGAGGTCAGAGATGTGGCCTTCCAGCTCCCGGATCTTCTTCAGGGCGTTGTTCTTCTGGGCGATTTCATCGTCAAGCCTACCGGGGAGGGGCCGCTGGGATGAAGCCCACATGGTTTTCTAGGACCAGCCCCTTGCGTGGCACAGACATCGCAGCACATCCCACCCATGTCCCTGAGACACACAGGCCTGCGCGAGATGGACGCAGGATGCAGACAAAACATGGGTCGTCTGCATGCATGTGTGTGTGCGCAAAGCATCGGACCCAGACTGGCAAGGTGCCCGGCTTGTAATAGGGGCTTTATTTACTTATTTACAAACACAAGGTCTTGCTCTGTCATCCAGGCTAGTGTGCACTGGCGCAATCATAGCACACTGCAACCTCAACTTCCTGGGCTCAGGTGACCCTCCTGCCTCAGTCCCCTGAGTAGCTGGGACTACAGCCACATGCCACCACGCCCAGCTAATTTATTTTTGGTAGGGAAAGGGTCTCTCTAGGTTGTCCAGGCTGATGCTGAACTGGCCGCAAGAGATCCTCCTGCTTCAGCCTCCCAGAGTGCTGGGATTACAGACATGAGGCACTACGCCTGGTTCACAGTAGGGGCTTTATAGATGCTTTCTGGATGTTAGACAGTTATTCTTCCCTGGAAACCAGCTGCTCTTCCTTCATCTGGTCAGTGACTGAATACTGATACCACCCATGTCATGTGCAACACTTGGTGGGGCACTGCCTGGGAGGATGTTCACACCAGGGCCCGTCAGAAGTGAGGGAGGCGGTACCTGTAGGTCAGGCTGGGCTGTGAGAAGCCTTATTCAAATGGCAGGCTCTGCAGGAGGTTCCAGAAGGAGCGCTCCCCCCCCCGACACATGGTGGATGGAAAGGGACAGCATGAGGGAGGCCCAGGGTCAGGGAGGAGGGATACTGGACTTCCCTGCCCTCATGAACATGCAGCATCGTGAGCGGAAGTGAGTAGCCGGGGCGGGGTGAGACTGTGGAGGTAGGGTGGGATCTGACGGGACCAGGCAAGGAAGCAAGTTTCCTGGGCAGGTTCACGTGTGATGTTTTTCCTGGTCACCCTGGCACTGCCACGCAGCACGCAACAGAGAGCCGGGCGGGGGATCACCCTGAAGCCTTGTGGCCCAAATCATGTCTCTGCTTCCTGGAAGCCATGACCCTGAACCTGTTCCAGCTTCTCTGGGAGGCTGGGCCTCCCTCTGTGAGAGGGAGGCACCACCAGCATCACACCTGGCCGGTGCTGCAAAGACAGTGCTCAAAAGCCCTTAGCGCCAATGGTCATCACTGATTGTGGCTGCTGCAGCATCCCCAGTGTGAGGCCACTGGCGTGAGGCTGGCTAGAGCTGGGGGGGGGGGACAGCTGAGGAACAGCGGGGGTGCATTTCGAAGGACTGGCAGAATCAGAGCCTGCTGCATGCCGAGGGGTGGGGAGGTTGCTGGCATTTGCAAAAAGCGGGACCTCAGCTGGAGGGGTTGGGGGCAGGAAGGCCATCCTAGCCTTAGACACGGGGCCTTTGAGATATCAATGAGACGGCCTGGGCATCTGAGAGTAGCCGCAGCACCGTGGGAACAGGAGAGGCCGAGTGCACAGAGAGGGCATGTTCAGGGGAGAAAAAAGTCAAGGTGATGGCTGGGGGTGTGAACAGGCCTGGGAGGCTCGCAAGAGGCCTGGCCCTGGCCCAGGACGCAGAGTCCATGCCAAGGGCCTGGGGCCACTGTGTCCAAGGCGGCTACCATCCTGAAAGGGCCCACAGGATGTGTGAATGTGCACCACACCCTGCCACCCACTACCTGGCCAGGGCTGCCTGCAGTTCCTCCTCCTTCTTGGCCAGTTGCATCTTGAGCTCGGCAATCTGGGCCTGGAGGTCGGCAATCTGCTCGTGGAAGTCGCTAGCATCACCCTCCAGCTTCCGCTTCAACTTCTCCAGCTCCTGCCGGCTCTTCTCCTCCTTCTTCAGCCGCACTACAAGAAAGCTGGGCTCTCAAGGGGAAGCACCAGGAGAACGCTGGAGGGGGCCTCCCACTCACCAGTCCACAGAGGAAGGCCACACACCCACGCATGCATCCCTGCCACACTGTCATAGCCTGGCCATCAGCTCCTGATGAAGGGCACCTTTCATGGCTATTTTTTGTTTTGTTTTGTTTTGTTTTGTTTGAGTCGAGTTCTCACTACCTCTCCCAGGCTGGAGTGCAGTGGCACAATCACAGCTTACTGCAGCCTCAAACTCCTGGGCTCAGGTGATCCTCCTGCCTCAGACTCCTGAGTAGCTGGGACTACAGGCAGGTACCACCATGCCCAGCTAATTTTTTGTAGAGACAAGGTCTCACCAGGTTGCCTGGGCTGATTTTGAACTCCTGGGCTCAAGCAATCCTCCCGCCTCGGCTTCCCAGTCTGCTGGGATGACAGGCATGAGTCACCGCACCTGGCTCCTTTTATTGTAATGTCAGTGTGTAGGTTGACAGGGTGTTTTGGGGACCTGGATAGAACCATCACACTCATGGCAAAGTCTGCCCTTCTCAGATTTCCCTTCTGGTTCTCCTGGCTTTCAACACACCCACTGGAAACCTCTCTGGGTGGCTGGTTTACCTTCCAGTTCTGAAATCATAGATTCGTGCTTGTTTTTCAACTTGGTAAGATTCTTGGCCTTTTCTTCTTCTTCTGCAAGATTTGTCGTTAAGTCACTAATCCTCTCTTCAAGAAGTTTTCGCTCCTTTTGGGGGAAAGAGAAAAAAATATCTTTAGTTTTTTTTGTTTTTTCCAGGATCTATGTTTTACTTGTAGTAATTTCTGCATAAATGGTTGAAAAAAATAAAACCCACATAATAACCAAATGCAACCCAGAGTTTTAAGTGGAAAAAGGAGAAGTGCTTTGTTTTTGTTTTTTGAGTAGGGTCTCGCTCTGTTGCCCAGGCTGGAGTGCAGTGGAATGATCACAGTTCACTGAGTGTTGACCTCAACCTTCTGGGCTCGTGATCCTTCTGCCTCAGCCTCCTGAGTAGCTGGGATCACAGGTGTGTGCCACCATGCCTGATTAATTTTTTAATTTTTTTGTAGAGATGTGGTCTTGCTATGTTGCCCAGGCTGGTCTCGAACTCCTGGCTCTAAGCGATCCTCTCTCCTCAGCCTCCTGAAGTGATGGGGGCATAAGCCACCATGCCTGGCCCTATTCTGCTTTTAGTACTGAAAATCTCACGTCCTCCAAAGCCCCCCACCCCTGTCCCTGGTGAACCTGTCGTTTTTCACTCAGAATCATGACCCCTACTCACCTTGGATAGTTTGTTGTTCTGATCATCCATGACCAGGATGTCATCCTCCAGTTTCTTGATCTTGGCCTCAGCTGTGACCTTCTCGAGTTGGAGTTTCTGCCTTGCAGCTTCCTCCTCCTCCAGCTGTTCCTCCAGATCCTTTGTCGGGGAGGAAAGAGAATCGCACCCTTGTCCACCATGAGGTCACTCGCATGGAGAAGTGGAACTGACGAACACCGAGGCTGGGCTTGGCAGCACCCGGTGCTCTGCAGCCTCCTTCCAAAAGGAGGAACTGAAAAGTTACTTTGCTTTGTGGAGCCTTAGTCCCCTCATCTGTCAAATGGGCATAGTAGGGGCCATGGTGGTTTAAAATCAAATTCTTTGATACTCTTCCCTTCAAGAGGTGGACCCTAGTTCTCCTCCCCTTGAGTGTGGGCTGTATTTAATCACTTGTTTCTGACAAACAAAATCAGGAGAAACTGGTGGTGTGTAACTTCAGAGATTAGGCTGTCAAAGGTACTGTGGCTTCCCCTTCCCTCAGACCACTCCATCTGGAGAAGGCCACCACCATGTTGTGAGGACTCTCAAGTAGTCCTTTGGAGAGGGCCTCAGGGTGAGGAACTAAGGCCTCCGGCCAACAGCCATGTGAGGGAGCCACATAAGACAGACCCTCCAGCCCCAGTTTACCTTCAGATGACTGTAGCCCACCATCTTGAATGCAGCCTCATGAGAGACTCTGAGCAGAACTGCCCAGCTAAGCTACTCCCAAATTCCTGACTATGTGAGATCCATATGTATCATCCAAGCTGTTACACTGGGGATGTCTTGTTATGCAGCAAGAGCTAACTAATGCAACTACCCTTCACACAGGGTTGCTCTTAGGACACAAAGTGTTGGCACACAAACAAGGGCAGTCAAACAGTGTGGGCCTGCTATGTTCAGATCCCAGCACCAGCCCTGCAGCCTTGGGCTGATGGCCGTCCCTCCTCAAGCCTCACTTTCGTCACCTGTCCAGCAGGGACACATGTCCCTGGACACGGTGAGGGTCAAGCGATCTGCTGTCAACCAGGGGCAGCCCTTACAACAACTTACCAGCATCTGCTGGGCCATCTTCTTCCTTTCAGCCTGTAGCTGCTGGCCCCTGTCTTCCTCCTCCTCCAGGCGGGCCTCCATCTCGTGCAGGATCTCCTCCAGCTCCTGTTTCTTGGCTGCCAGACGCACGCGCATCTCCTCAGCCTCCGCATACAGCTCGGTCTCCGCCTGTAGCTGTTCCTGCAGCAAGTTCTTCTCCTCGGCCAGCTGCACATGGGGGACAGTGGTGGGCTCCAAAGGTCCCATGCCCAGCCTCTGTGGCCCCAAGCCCTGCCCCCTACGCCCTGTGACTCCACTCCCCACCCCTGTGGTCCTAAGCCCTGCCCCCAAGGCTCCAGTCCCGCCCCCCATTGCCCCCATGCCTCACCCCTGCAGCCTTCCCACGCCTGTGCCCTGGCACCTGTGTGTGCTTCTGCTCCAGCTCCTT